CATCCATCTGAAATCTGTACCTCACGCTCAAATATAAAATGGATGTTTCACCTAAATTAGAATGTATATTAACTGTTTACGGAGATAAATATTTCAATTATAAAATAGTACCATAATGTATTTAATAAAACCCCACTAAGCATCGTTCTAATGAGTGAGACAAGAGTTAAACAAAATACCAGAATGCTGATCCTGAAGGTTCTATCTTTATCACGAGTAATAGTACTAATATAAGCGAAACATATCATAAATAAAATAAACCACCCTCCACCTAATCGTTCAATAATATCCCTAGAAAAAACAACAGTTTCCAATGTGGTCTCATAGAAGAAATACACATGTATAATGCTGTTAAGACCATTAAGTATGTGTCCAGTCGTCGGAACAATCAAGATAAGTTTCCTGTGTCTTGTTTGAAAACACCGACAAAAGAGCAAGCATACAGCTCAATGTTGCCGTTAAATAAGTTTTCCACGAAGAGCACTCGAGAGCAGCTGCTGTGTGTCTCTTTCATAATCACTCTGTGCCTCACCGTTTTGCTGTATTAAAGAATCATAAATTTCAGTGAAGTTTAAGTTCACTCTACATGCTTTTTCCAACTGCAAGTTCTGCGATGCCATGTTGTGCAACGTGCTTGCAGTTACGACCATTAAAAAACATGGTTCTACAGTTATATTTCTGAATGCATTGGCAACTTTCTTTCTGGAACTCGAATCCTCTTTTTCTATTACATCTTGACCGTCTAGGCTTACATTATCATGCTCCTTCTGAGTATGGTAATTATTATATGTTTATTTATTTATAACTTTTTGCACAAGTACATGCATCGGCGGACTTAATGCCTAAGGCATTCTCTGCCAGTCGACCGATTGGGCGGTGCTGAGAGAGAATGAGGTAGGTGCATTTATGGTAGGGTAATAAACGATAGAGGTTTTGTTAAATATACATACTCATACATATATACATATATATATATATATACACGTTTCTATAGTAATATTTTTTTTAATACTTAAAAACCCATTCCTTTACTCCTCAGTTGAATGTATATCCTTGTTTATGTTATGAGTGACTGTATGAAGATTTTATTTGCAACGGGAGTGTATAAGTGATCAATCTCTTGTGGTAGATTACTATCGGCTTTGCGATAATACTACCGATGACGAATACTCGTGAGTTTTGGATGGTTATTATCACTTCATGTTTTGTCTATCTCTGTGATGACTTCTGAGTGAGTTATCACAATATATTATATTTGTTTTGATTTTTTGAAATTTATTGCACATTTATTGTAAGATCAAAAGTTATTTTTACAAGAATCATGGAATTGATAAGTATTAAAAATGTTCATCGCCTATTAAGTTTTATTTATGTTTAAGTTTGTTATTTATTATATATTTAAATTTTACTTAGTTGAAAATGAAGCCGCTTTTTTTGATTTTAATGCGGTTTTCATCAATAGAAAAAGTGATTTAAGAGGCGAGTCTGTATGTGTTACACATTCATATTTCAGTAGAGGAAATAAGGTAATTTTAAAGCTTCATGATGTAAAGTCGTTAAAACACGTTTTCGTGAGCTTACATTGCAAACGCTAGTTAAACCTTATGAGTTAGATCAAAATAATGTACTACGGAATTGTACATCTTAAAAATATCTACAAAAAAAAATCGTATTAGTATATGTCTATCTCTTAAAGATAACACACGGTCACCATTTTTATCCTCTACAAATTACAAATTAGTGGGTAATTTACGAACCTATTTTGAGTATTATGAGTACAGTATGATTCCTTATCCAAATAAATACGTTGGGTACGTTCTGCATGTAGATCAAAATTGCCTTGAACAGTATATCATTAAAATGAATATCTTAGTAGATATTAGAGATTTAAAATGCACGGGCATTTAGGAATCTATTTATTTATTTATTTAATTCACCAATAGTTATATATACAATAATTTATTACTAGAGACATACAAATTATTCGCTTGCAACTCCTGAGTTGCAGACGTTCATGGGCGGCGATAGTCACTTTCCATCAGGTGAACCGTTTGCTCGTCTGCCCTCTCTAACATAAAAAAAATTGCACAACTAATAACAGGTGAATACAACAACAACAATATCGTTTCTACAATTACATAACATTAAGTAATTAAATAATTTAGTAACAATGATAATAATAATTATTATATTCACAAATTTTGTTGTTTATTTATAAATTCAGTATAAATTTTTAAGTATTAGTATATTACAATACATCAAATCAATACAATAAAATACAATAAAAAAATATAACCAGTGTTCAATAAAATGTAATTTGTAAATAAAAAAATTGATTGGGAGCGTGGCACACTTATCAAAACCCAGACATATTCACAAGTACTCTCCCAGGCGTTAATTCGATACTCGTGAGACGTTCGAGTTCGAGACAGTTACCAGAACTCCACCTCTTTACCTGTGTGGAAGCCTGATGACTCCCTATCACGTCTGTACACAACGTAGCGATCGTCGAATAGCTCAGTGCTTAGGACGGATGAGTTTAGCCAAGTTTCGGTTAGTACAATGATGTCGTGGTTTCTAGTGGTTAAATTCCGAAAAAACAAATGTGTTTTGGTTCGCAGGCCACGAGCATTCTGATAATATACTCGTACCTTTAGTTGTTTGAATTTTATAACAGTAACCAATTCATGCGTAATGTTGTATAACAGGTTTCTACTTTAAATTATCCAAAACTCTCGTGTCTCTTATCACAATATACCTATCTTGTTCTGTTTTACGAACGAGAATACATCCCCTTATAACCTTTTTCCTTTGCCACTCGTCTCGCTGCTGCATGTAATGATTTATTTGAGGGAGAAAGGTGTTCTACGATGTAAATTGGTAGCTTAGCACCGCTGAACCCTGCATGAGAGCTGTTAAGCTTGTTCGTAAGATTGGCTCTATTGTAGTTTTTTGATGCCATTAAAAACTGATCTCGCTTATTTGAGCTATTTAATTCTACAATAATCGATCCTGAGCGGGAGTTCTCGCGATTAATTTTTGCTGTCCTCGTAATACGCATGATGTTTTCATCTTTGATCTCGCATGAAACAGTTTTGCGTAGCTCCTTCGCTATGGACACCAGGTTTTCTGACTTTTCTTCAGGGACACACTATATTTCAATATTTTTCGATCGAGTGCTTTGTTGAAACTGGTTTATTTTTGATTTTAAATCAGTAATAGATGAATGCATTAAAGTATTCTGCTCCTGTAAGTTTTTAATACAGATCTGACTTGTTCTGTGCTTCTTTACAATCTGTCTTCTTTACAATGTCCTCAAACGATTGAAAGGGCCTGTGTATTTTGGAACAAAAACTAGTCAGGGAATTACTACTCTTTGCTTGCCGTCATCACGTTTTCGAGCTGGTTTTAAAATGTATGTTCGAAACTAAAATCCACCAAGTCACAAGTAGCCCTGATATCCCACTATCTAAAAAGTTTAGAGACAACTGAAAAACTATTAATCCTACTGCCATAGAAACATACACGGATATTGTCACACGACATTTTTGTAATACAACAATAGCAATCGTATTTTTTTTTTAATAGAACATTCTATACATCAATGAAACAAATATTAACCATTTATTCATAATTATTATATCGTGTTAATCAGATCATGATTATATTCACGCTAGCACAATCGTTGACTAGGTGTGCTCTTACCAGTGTAATAAAAAGTAGTATCCTATTGGTCATTAAATAATAACAATAAGGAAAAAAATATTTTTTTGTACTAAGAACTACTACATGCAATTCTTCTAGAGCCACCAATGTTGGTTGACGTTTTGTTGGGAATAGTTGGCCAAACAATAAAATATTTGTTTTTAAAAGTAAATTAATTATTTTTATGTACTAAAACATATAATCTGATTTGTATTTACCTAAAGAAATATATACAACTTTACTGTTACACGGTAGCATTTTAATTGTCCTCACAATGGGTGACGTTGGACGATCCTGTCGGAAATAAGAGCTTAAAAATATTGTGTGCTTGTATTTTTTGGGCCGTTTTTAGATTTGTTACCTTTAATCTAGTTGTATTGATGATCGAAATTTATAATGACCAATTCAAGTCTATATCAGATCTAAAAGCCGTTGCTCATTTAGACATAATAATCAATATTTTGTTGATCATAAATATACGTAATAACATATTATATTATTACGTATTATTATTAAGTATTATTTGTTATTTTACAACACAAGAAACTTAATACTATGACGCTTTAATATTGAAAGGTATATCAGTGAAAGAAAGGGTATTCTTTTGAGTATTTTTATTTGTTTCCTTTGTAAATATAACATAAATTAATTGTGACATAACTTATCAAGCATATAAGTTATTTAAACGAATATACTATTGAGGTTCTTTTCCTCAATAGTATATTTATCTAGGATTTATATTATATTTAAAACGACTACGAATATTAAATATTGTCATGGTACGAAGACATGGTGTAATACCATTTTATGAATTATGGCCTCGTGAAAGTTAAAAAAATATAATTAGAATTTACACTAATAATAATATCAAAATCACATATTTTGGAATATAGTGACATCGGCTGTATAGTAAAAATTATGTTACTACATGAGTCAGCGTATTCCTCATTAAAATTAATACAGTCATAGCTATTTGTATTAGAAATAGTCAATATTTATAAATAATAACTTATCATAACTTAATATTAATCGATTGACTTTGATTTTGGAATTTCTTCAAATTTTCCAAGAAAATTTATTTTTGAGAATTCGATTTGAGTACTAAAATATTGTCTTTGGCTTTACATACATACACTCATACTTAATAATACATTTTCTATTCATACAAAGAAACATTTCGCAGAATTTTATTCCTGCAAATGGTGAAGACAGTAGTTCACTTTTATCGCTGTTTAGACCTTAAATATTTACTATTAAATACACTTATAATACTTTAATTAAAATGTATAAAACTGTTATGAAATCTGAATTAGATTACTCTGCGATTGTCGGACTTGCATTCTGTGTTCGTAGAACAAATAACTGGAAATAAAATTATTTAGTTAAATTACTGTCGTATTTTAAGTAACGTATATTGCAGAAGTAAAAATTAAACACAAAGTTGCTAGTAACATTATGGTTGTTCCACTAGTTATAAAAATCTAAATAAAATTTAAATTTAAGATTAAGGTTAAAAGAGTGTCGCCATTAATATCAAAAATAAAAAAATAAAATTTGTAGTATATAATGATCTCACCATAGTACAACAACAGCAGGAAGCATGAGAAGACCTCCTACGAGAAACACTGCTCCGGGTAGAACTTCCATTGTAGCCGAATACACCTTCGCGTAAAGCGGCACGTATATCAAAGGCGACAGATTCTCAACTATTCCAACTAGAGAACTTAGTTTACCTAAAAATAAAAATTACAAATTTATTAAAGTATTTTTAAACAGAATATATAGGCAGTAACAGGCTTGAATGGATTGGGCATTTTGGAAGTAATTAATCTTATTTTCGATGGGAAGTTATTTGCACAAAAAGAACACCAGCAGCTGGGCATAAAAAGGACGTGTTCTATGCCGTTCAACCGAAACCGCATAAGCTATACTTTCTGGTAGCTGAAGGTAGCCGAGTTACGGTGAATATTAGTCAAAACAGAATGTATGAGATGATTCCTAACTAGAAAAGCTTACCTATTTCATGCCCTTCAACCATTTTGGACATTATTGACCGCATCGCCAATAGTGGAATCCCGTTCATTATATCAATCATCGGTCCTGAAATAAGATATTGACAATTAGCTAATATGATAATTAACATTGACAATAGTTTAGAATATGCGCCCAAAGGGTATGCCTAATTTATGAACACTGCAATATCAGGGGCACGTTATGTACTTTGCCAAATCTATTTAAACATCTTCATATCCTTTTACAAGAAACTTTACAAAACAACGCAATTACCTAAGTAATTGTCAATAATAACCAGTTTTGCAGTAATTTCATTTGTCAACGAAATGTGATAATACAAACTTTTTAGAATTAGCAAAGCTGCATAAAGTAAATCTTATAAATGCTTACCAAAATAAAAGACGAGTCCGGTTTGAGCAAAACAGTAAATAAATGAGGCGGCAATTTTACTCAATGTAGATATGATGCCCAGCAAAGAATCGTGCCATCCAAGATATTTGATGATAACCAAGATTGACAACGCCGTACCTGAAATACTTTTTTATTAATTACGTATACTAGATGTCGATTATATTGGTGAATGTTTAAATGACAAGTTGTTTTAACACAACAAGAAGTTTTAATAACAAGGTAGTACAAAAACCATAAATACTTAAATGATAATTACCTATGAAATTTGTGAATAAATTATAGCTCTGGAATAGACTATATTGGACTTCATCCCATTTAAATCTATATCTCACGTTCAAATACATAATTGATGTTTCACCTGAAACAAAATTAAAGTGAAATAATGTAAACAACTTATAAAAAAAATTTAGGAAAACGATCGTTTGTTCGTAGTTAGCTTTTGTTTAATTATGACCTAGTAATATTTCTCTTTTTCTGGATGCAAGGTACCCTATGTCATTTGCTGTATCTCTGGCAACGGAGGAAATAAATTTAACATTTCACGATTAACGATCATCGTTATGCAGTATGGATGATTCTTCCATTCTACTCTATTATTCGTAATTTACCCCGATCACACAGTCCATCCTCCTTTTTTTTGGTCTTTCTCTTCTTTTGTACGCTTTAACTCATACCTAACACTTTTTTCGAAACATTTTCCTCATCTGCATGACATGTCCATACCAAGACAACCTATTACTTCTTAACTTTACATCTAGTGGCGCTACTAGAAGAGCAGCGTATACAATATAAAAAAATTAATGTGGACTTTAATACATAAAGGCAGAGTAAAAGAGTATTTTTGTAAGTAATATTTCTATGTAATAGACATATGTATAATAAAATTTGAATAAGTAACCATTACTTACCGTAAAATGGTCCAAATAGTACAATTACTACGAGTAAGAGGATACACAAACGTAGCCTCCTACTATTAGGAGCCTTGCGGATGATTATATTCATTGTGTCTTTCACATTTGATATATTGAAGAAAATACGGAGTAACTGCCACCAATTTGAACCGCTGTACTGTAAATGATATAAAGGATTAAAATTTGTTAAGTATCAGTTGAGTTAGACGTAAATATTCAAATGGAGATGGCAGATGACTAGCGTTGATTTTACAATCAAATTTAGGGGTTTCGGAAAGAAAATAACACATAGATAAAGTTTTTTTTTGAGTTCTAGGCATAGATAAAATAATTAATTACTAGAATAATATATAACACTTACTGCTTGTTGTTCAGGACTTTTCTTTGGATCGCTGATCACAAAAATGGTGTAAAGTACACTAACTACATTTAAGGCGATAGATATTCCAATTATACCATAATACCCCAATGCATTTAATAAAACTCCACTTAGCATCGTTCCAATGGGCGAGGCCAGAGATGTACAAAAGACCAGAATCCCGATCCTGAAGGTTCTATCTTTGTCAGTAGTAATAGCACTAATATATGCAAAACAAGTTATAAATAAAATACCCAACCCTCCGCTCAATCCTTCAATAATAGCCCCAGAGAAGACAATAGTTTCCAATGTGGTCTCATAGAAGAAATACACATTTATTATACTGTTAATACCATTAAGTATGAGTCCGGTAGTAAGAACGATCAAGAAAAGTTTCCTGTGTCCTGTTTTATCAGAGAAGGAACCAATAAAAAGAGCAATAATACAGGTCAATGTTGCAGTTAAATAAGTTTTCCATGCAAGAGCTTTCGCTAGCAAGTGTTGCGTTTCTCTTTCATAATCACTATGAGCCACGCCGTCTTGCAGTATCAAAGAATCACAAATTTCTGTGGAGAAGTTTAAATTCACTCTACATGCTTTTTCCAACTGCAAGTTCTGCGATGCCATATTATACAACGAGATTGCAGTTATGACCATAAACATGCATGGTTCTACAGTTATATTTCTGATTACATTGGTAACTTTCTCTCTGAAACTCGAATCTTCTTTTTCTATTAGACCTTGATTATCTAGTTCTATATGGGCATTACCCTGCTCCATAGGATTGTAGTTATTGTCTTTTTCTGTATTAGTATTCATTTTTGGCAGACACTTTTAGAACATTACTTTACTCTTCAGTTGAATTAATAAACTTGTTTATATTACGAGTATTGTGAGCGACTGTATGCAGGTTTTATTTGAAACAAGAATTTATAGGTGAACAATCTCGTATAGTGAGATTACTATCAGCTTTAAGATAATATCTCCGATGACAAACACTAGCGTCATTTTTTGATATTGTTAAAATTATGTCATATTTCATCTTTTTTGTGTAAACAAGTTAGTTATTGCTGTATACGTTATTTTTACTCTGTTAGATGTCTGTAGTTATTATTGCAATCAATTGTATTTTTTTCACAAGGCACTTGAAATGTCCATATGTTTTATTTATTTTATTTAAACTATATTAATTATAGTCCATTTCAATGTATTTCATGCCTCTTTTTAACACATACATACATAAACTCACGCGTATATCACAGAAGGGGTAGACAGAAGCATATTAAATGTTAAAATTTTCTCTAACTATAATTTTAGTCCCGCTCACGCAGGGAAAAGTGATTGTCATCAACCGGGGACTTCAAGGATTGAATTTAAAAATTTTGAAAATGTTAGAAGAAGAAGATTTTAAGGAAATGTTAGAAAAGGTTATATTGGTTAAGATTAAGGTTAAGTAGTTACGAAATGAAATACAACAATCTTACAAAGAAAAGAGAACACATTATTTTGCATTGATTGTCTGGTTGTCAAACTTCGATCATAAATCACCAACGTTGTGGCATTTTGAATGTTATCTTTTATTTTAAGGACTAGTGATATTGAACTGTGATTGTACTGTAATTAACTTGTGGTGCCATAACATGTCAACATATAAATTGGATGTTTGTAGATTCTGGTTTTCTTCATATGGTTTGGCTCCGTCACATGTAGTCTATTTCAAAGAAGTCCCCCACAACCACGGCAAACCTTGACTGGTTTAACTGGTAAACCTACTACTACTAGGGCAATGGGCAGCCTCACCGCTACCTCCAGGCTAGCGCTAGAGGTCAGGGATCGTTTTGCGCTCTCCATCGCTTAATGCATTGCCTCAAAACGGAAGAGACTGGAGAGTCCTTCCACTGCCTTTTTAACGGACTTCACTAGATTTGTGGTTTATCATTGTACATAAAAGAAAATATAATATTTGTGTAAAGACATAATCAGGAATAATTTGGCTACATACATAAAGTTATTTATGTCTTTTTAAACATTCATCATCATCACAGCCTTTAATAGTCCACTGCTGAACATAGGCCTTCCCTTAGATAGGAGGTTTTGGCCTACTATACCACGCTGGCCATACGGGTTGGTATAGGGTTTTTGTCAAGTTTTCCTTCTCTTTGTAGTGCTGTTGTCCTGCGTAGTTTTCTACCTTAGTCGACTCTTACGACACCTACAGGTTGAATAGGGGTGACACTGTATTCTTAATCCGTCACACGGACTAAACATACGGATAAACAAATAAATAAAAATTAAATAAAAAAGTAAAGTAACGGTCAAATGAAGTTGTGACGCATCCTATAATGTATGAGTCATAAACCAATGTATTTAGATTGGAGTTCACTAACTTCCGACAGAGCATCGTTTGAGATGCCTTTGTCTTATCTAATCAGAGTAGCCTAATGCCATGTTCCTTTTTTTAAATGCAGATGTCACATCAAATACATAATCTGTATCTTCGAAGTGAGTCATTTTAAGTTTCAAGTCACTTAGTTATTTTATTATGTATAACATGCCAGCTACTTTTATCTTAACATATAAACATTCCAAAACGGCGGGTATTACATTTTCCTATTATATTTCTCATTTGATTATAAATCAATAAAAACACCATGTGCACATAGCGCACCTAAGTCAAAAGACCCAAAATTATTGAGTTTAATAATAACGTAAAAAATAATGTAAACGAATGACTAGAATTGGTAGTGGTTTAGGGCATTAGCCTGACGGAGGTGGCTTGTTTGTTTTGTTCGTTTCGTTCTGTTAAAAAAACGCATAGGGAGGCTCCGTCTGCAGAAACCGCTTACGAACTACTGTGCGGTTTGCGTTTGAAGACGGTTTGAACCAATATGTGGAACAAGTTGTCATCTGCGGTATTGCCGGACAGATTTGACCTTTAAACCTTTTAAGAAAAGAAGAAGTTATTTTATAGCATGTAAATTCTGAGCACATTTATCAATTGTAAAGATCTCAATACAACATTACATTACTACCCAAAATTTGTTTACATAGTTTATTTATTTAGTTTTACTTAATATGGTTAATGTACAACCATGAAAAATAAAAGCATTCTGCCTTACCGATCGAGTAGAACTAGTGAGTAAATATTTAAATCTCGACCTCAATCCAGGTCACAGAATAATTATTATTTCATAGGCCCCGTCGTGGTCCGGGCCCAGATGAGGTACCTGGGTCTGGTCCTAGACGGTAGGTGGCTCTTCGACGAATACTTCCGACAGCTTGGTCCGAAGCTGGTGGACACTGCCTCCGCCCTAGGGCGACTTTTGCCCAATTTGGGCGGGGCCAGTGTTCCCACGAGGCGGCTGTACGCGGGGGTTGTCCGGTCTATGGCGCTTTATGGTGCACTGGTGTGGGTGGCGGCTCTGACCGCCCTGAATAGGGCGCGCCTCTGGCGCCCCCAGAGGATATTGGCGGTCAGAGCCATACGCGGATACCGCACGGTATCCACCGAGGCGGCTTGCGCCTTGGCCGGAACACCCCCGTGGGATTTGGAGGCGGAAGTGCTCGCAGAAGTTTATCGGCGAGTGGCTGACTTCCGGGCGGAGAGCGGATTTCGCCCTCCGCCCGAAGACGTGCGCGAGTGGCGCGAAGCCGCTCGCCGAGCCACCATGGTCAGATGGTCGTTCCGGCTGGAGACTCCACGCGCTGGCTTCGCCGCCGTGGAGGCTCTCCAGCCGGTCATCGCCGAGTGGGCAGGGCGGCAGCACGGGACCCTTTCCTTCCGGCTGACGCAGGTGCTTTCCGGGCACGGTTGCTTCGGAAAATACCTGTACTCGGTCGCTAGGAGGGAATCGAGTCCCGCCTGCCACCACTGCGACTGCAGTGAGGATTCGGCCCAGCACACGCTGGCGGTTTGCCCCGCATGGGCGACGCAGCGCCGGGCCCTCACTGCAGTCATCGGAGCAGATCTCTCGCTACCGGCCGTAATTCGCTCCATGGCCGGTTGCGACGGTTGTTTTACCGCGGTCGCAACCTTCTGCGAGGAGGTAATCTCGCAGAAGGAGGCGGCGGAGAAGGCCCGGGAGGACGACCTCCACTCAGAACTGATCCGCCGCCGGTGAACCGGGCGGCGAAGGCGCGCTTACCTGCGCCTTATGCTGCCCTGAGTGTGGCCGCGGGTGGACGGGATGGGTTTCCCCCCTCCACCCGCATTAGTTGACCAGCCGCGAGGGGGCGGCGTCCGCGTGTGCCGGACGCCGCCTAAAGAGAGGAAACTTTGAGACGGAGTTCGCAACAGGAGCGGGCCGGCGCTGGGAGGGGTCCAGAAGGCGATAACTACCTGGACCCCTCCTAAACTGGAAGCGCAAAGAGGGCACACCGTGTGGTTTTAGTCGGTTCGAGTCCGACACACCGCCCCGCCGAACGAGAGCCCCGGCGGGGTGACGGTCCGAGGGGATTTCCACACGTAAAAAAAAAAAAAAAGTCACAGAATAATGAAATTGTAATAATGCATAACGTTTAAGACAAAGATAGCTTATAATATAATATTTTTTAAAATTCTAAATTAACGTAGTTTTTGAAAAATGAAGACCTTTTGTTTTTTTTTCTTCGGATACCACCCACCGGGGGCTTGTCGGACTCGAATCGACTAAAAACCACATGTCGTCTTCGGTTCCAGTAGCCAGGGAACCAGGTGTACCCTAGAAAGGAAATCCCTGGTGCCCCGACGTACCTCGGGCCATCTACGGCGGGTAGATGACACCCTCCTGTGTGGGAACCCCCATGTTTCCTATGTGCAGACAGATGGCCTCACCTTTCACCCCCAGGACTGCGCTTATGGAGTACGGCGGTCGTTCTGTGATAGGGAAACCCGGTGGGGTTGGGATTTCTGGTCCTCGATTTCTCGAGTCTCAGGACTTCGACCCAACTCCCGCATCTAATTGCGCCACTGATACAGTGGAGTTCCGGCCAGGAGACTCGCTGCCTCAAAGGAGGTCGTGCGGTACCCCCTTATGACCCTGATGGCCAGCACTCGCTGTGGTCATCGCAGTAGTGCGACGTTGCTGCCTTCAGGACCTCCGCCCATACTGGGGCCTCATAAACTCCCGAGTAGAGTCTCCTGCAGGAGTCATGGGATCCCCTCATGTTGGGACCTTTAAATGTAGACCTAACTAAAACACAAGCTCAAAATGAACTTGGAAACGTGGAAGGGGAATTTATTTTTTTCTTTATGTTGCAATTTATTCATACCATATGTATGTTGGTACTGCTTGTTACACACCCTGCTTAGTTTGAGATCCGGCGATAATTTCTAAAATATATCAAGATATTACTATATTATTAGTACTATTTTACTCATTAAGTGTTATATTCCACTACTGACAGCGACTAAAAAGCTTCTAAAGAAACACCACAAAAAAATCAGTCAAGCAAATTTTTAACTGATATTCGATCACAAAGGTGATTTTATATTAGGCGCTAGTTTTGTAGCTCATAATCATTTTCTATTTAAATCATTTTTTATTTAAAAAAAACAACAAATAAAATTGATGTGTTGTGTGTCTGTGATTTAGAAAAAATACATTAAGCCTAATAATATGTTTGTTCATCCGTCATCATCAACAACTTTAGTAGTCTACTAGCTGGATTTAATAAACCTCTAAGAAAGGAGGTTTTAGCCTACTATACCACACTGGCCAAACGGGTTCTTATAAGGTTTGTTTCAAGTTTTCCTTCTCTCTTTGCAGTTCTATTATCCTGCGTAGTTTGCTGCCGTAGTCGGCTCTTACGGCACCCACAGGATGAATAGGGAATATTCTTAATCCGTCACCACAATTATTTGCAGTCAAAACTCGAATTCCAATTTTTTTTGTCCCATTTGAAGTAATTTCTTGTCAGTCTGTTTATTTTTCCTGTCTAATCTCCAAGACGGATACAGAAATTTAACAGCATATTTTAGACAACTCTTTGATGTGAAAATGTTAAGAACTCGAAAAAAATCATAGAATTTTTAACTGGGTTAATGTCCTGAATAACTTAACCAGTTTTCTCAAGACTTTTACTAAAAAGTCTTGAGAAAACCGGTTAAGTTATTGAGAAGTAAGTAAATAATTTCTTTCAGACCATTTAAAATATTTCAGTAGGATGTCATGTCATGTAGGATATTTGACGAATATCATTATCATCATTATATTTATCTGTGCACGATCATAAGCTCAGATCATACAAATGTATTATCTGAGATCGTAGTACGAGTAAATAAGCCGGTTATCGCGGTAGCCTGTGTGTCTCGTTGAAAACGTAGCATTCCATTAGTGAAAGAATTTTTAAATTCGCTTTAGTGGTTTAGGAATAAAAGCGTAACAAAGAAACGAATAATCAATCTCACTTTCACATTTATAAGAAAAGTATAGAAGTGTTTTTATGTGATATAATTGTAGTATATATATATTGTTTTATGATTAAAGCAACCAAAAACCTTGAGAAAATCACACAAAGTACGTAAAGCATCTTGCGATTCTTACGAACTTATTATCTGGAGTACATCTACTAAGCTTTTTGACGCATTTAAATTCATTTATGTGCACAACATAAAATCTATATAATGATAGATCTATATACAACTATTTATTTCGAGAAAATAATTAATTATTACTATGTAGATATAATTATAAACTTATCATAATAAGAATTAGAATAATAATAGGCTAACATAATAATATAAAGTTTACTTCTTCATCACATCACATTATATCAACAGCCTATAATAGTCCACCACTGGACATAGGCCTCTCCTTAGAAAGGAGGTTTTGGTTACTTCTTCACTTTACAGTAAATGTTACAAAAATATTGAAAGGTAATGAAAGAATATGTATATTTGAGTATTTTATTTGTTTTTAAAATAAATTCATTGTGGTGTTGCGTACAAGTTTTCAAAATATACATACTATTAAGTTTATTTTAAAGTAAATTGATAGTAATACATTACACACTTAATAAAAAATATACACTTAATTAAAAAGTATTTCAACAGTGGATCTCTTAGAGAATATTTTTTATAATCAGTAATATCAATAAACATTAAACTAATAATGAATTTTGTAATTAGTTTCGACAGATTGAAAAAAACAATTTTTCGGACTTATACCATTAGAAACTGGTATATGCTAGGTTTTACCAGAGGCGGTTGGTAAATGTTGGTTTCGTGAAGAAAACTATAAGTACAATAAAGTTAAATTTGGGTGAAGTTTGGCTAGAACAGTAACTATTAAAGAGCTAGACCCTCTACATTGTTGGTGAAACATGTCTGCTTATCGACATTTACCGTGTATTTGAAGTAAATCTTAAGATTTACCAGGTGAATGGTGGTAAATGTTCAAAATTCGGACTTTTACCATAACTCGTAGGTAAATTTTAGGTTTTACCTGTAAATCTCGGAATTTACCGTTGTTCAGGTTTTTACATTAATATAAACAGTACGGTACAGTACAGTACAGGCATCCAGTGTAAATATCATTATGGTACAAAGACATGGTACAATAACAGTTTACTACTTACGTTCGATATTGGACCACCAGTTGGCTTGTGATATAAAATTAACATGCCTCATAAAAAGTAACTAGCCGAAACAATTCTCATCATCATCATCATCAACAGCCTTTACTAGTCCACTGCTGGACATAGGCCTCTCCTTAGGAAATAGGTTTTGGCCTACTATACCACGCTGGCCAGACGGGTTGGTATAGGATTTGTTTCAAGTTTTCCTTCTCTCTGCAGTGCTGTTGTCCTGCGTAGTTTGCTTCCTTAGTCGCCTCTTACGACACCCACGGGATGAATAGGGGTGGTGACACTCTGTATTCTTAATCCGTCACCACACGGTTCTAATTTATACAAATAATAACATCTAATTATTGACTATTACTATTAGAACTTTGTACTACAGGAGTCAGCCTTTCTTCCTAAAATGAATACACTTACAGCTACTTAGATGAAATATACAAAATTTGTATATAATAACTTATCGTAACTTAATAAATACAATACAAAGTAGAAGAAAAGTTTTGTTACAACTTTACTCATCACAATAGCGTTGTATGTTTTGCGATAACTTGAATTCATATTTATTGCACGTCTAAACAAAAAAACATTTACAACTGGTATATTGTAATTTCTAAACAGTGGTATAAAGGATTACTTTACAACTAGAAGACTTTATCCACTAGTCGGCTATGTATGGTTAAAATATGAGGCTGGAAAATTTACACCTTTTCTGTTATAGAAGAATGCTTATTGAGTAAGTAATCATAAACAAAACCTTAAAACTTTACCTTGCTTAAATTTCTACTATTATATACACTACTATGCTATAACTATAAAATCTGCAACTACTATTAAAGCTGACTTTCATTAGACTGAGATTGACCGACTTGCTTTTTGTGCTCGTAGAATAAATAACTGAAAAAAATATATTGTTGAAAACAAGATTTGCAGTAAAAGTAAACAATAAAATAATACTACAGAATAACATTAAATAGTACGAAAAAAGGTAAAATTGAAAAAATAAAACATGCTAGTTATAAAATCTTAGACTAGTTTAGAAAATCTCACTAAAAATAGAACTCCTTAAAAAAGTAAAGTTTAATTATTATTGAAAAGTATAAATGATGTTTTAGAATATAAAAATTATTTTACCATAGTACAGCAAGAGCAGGAACCATCAGAAGACCTCCTACGAGAAACACTGCTCCCGGTAGAACATCCATCGTTGCCGAATACACCTTCGCGTAAAGCGGCATGTACATCAAAGGCGATAAATTCTCAACTATTCCAATTAGAGAACTAAGTTTCCCTAAAACGTAAATTAAAAGATATTAACAGAGTATATTTTTAAGTGGAATATATATTATAGAAATAGTACAGTGTGTATAAATCATAACAAAATGTATCAGATAATTCCTGACTAAAAACCTTACCGATTTCATGCGCTTCAACCAATTTAGACATTATTGAGCGTACAGCCACCATTGACATCCCGTTTATTGTATCAATGATAGGTCCTGAAATCAGAAGTTGACATTATTTAATAAGATCAAAATAATTCAGATTATATATCCACAGTATACAACTTTTTAAACCGTATAAACCAAATTTATGAAAACGGAAACATCACGGATGTCTTTTTTGCTTTGTCAAATTTATTAAAACGTCTTCACATCATTTTATAAGAAACTTTACAGCATGAAATCATAATAATAATAATCATCAAAAACACAAGATTTTTGTTTTTCATTACTGTTCAATTAATTTCACAGATGATATGCAGCATATGAGCATCTTACAATAAATAACAAGAATGTGATTAATAATATCAAAGCTAAATAAAATATCTGACAAAAGCTTACCCAAGTAAAATACGAGTCCGGTTTGAGCAAAACAGTAGACAAACAAGGCGACTATTTTAGTCAATACAGATATGATGCCCAGCAAAGAATCGTGCATTCCAAGATATTTGACGAAAATCAAAATTGCCAACGCTGTACCTGAAATACAAATACAAATACACAATTATGTATTGGATAATGAAATATGTAGATGTGTGTAATAGTGCAGTTAGGGGCACGAAGTTTCAGTTTAGTGGCAAAAGATTAAAGACCAAAATAGTACAATAACTACAAACACTCATTCGTTACTACTTACCAATTAAATTAGTGAATAAATTAAAGCTCTGGAAGAAACTATATTGGACTTCATCCCATTGGAATCTGTATCTCGTGAACAAATACATAATTGATGATTCACCTGAAATAGGATTAAAGTGAAATAAACCAAACAAATTAGGAAATCAAAATAATATAATGTATTTGAAACTACCTCTTGACCTCAGTTTAAGATTCAGTTTCAGTCAGCTTTGAAAAAAGTATTTGTTTCCTCGTTGAATAATGTTTTTTTCTGAATGCAAGGTTGTTGTTGTTGTTGTTTATGTAATTTATTGTATCTGTGGCATAGTGTACGCAAAATTCCACGATAAACAATGAAATAAATTGATATGGAATTTTAATATATAAAATTTTCCAAAATTTTTCCAGGTGTGACTAGGTGCTTTAGACTTTAATGTTATTGCGGTTTCAGTTAAGTTATGTTAATTAATTATAATAATTTCAGGTTCAAAACTGACGGAAAAGTATTTTGATTAAATAATTGAATTTCACATTTTTTTAAATTATAAAGTAAAATGCGCTGTATAGCGATTGAAATGGTTTCTTCCCTTTGCAGGAATTGATGCTTTTAGGCATTAAATATTATTATAATAATAATAATTGAATAAAATATATAATAATTGAAACTGAAGCTTATTATGAATTCTTACTATTTCTTTAATTAATATCTCTATATAGTAGATAATAATATAATATGAATACATAAGTAACCATAACGTACCGTAAACTGATCCGTATAATACTAACACCATAAGTAATAGGATACACAAACGTAACCTTCTACTATTAGGAGCCTTGCGGATTATTATTTTCAATGCATTTTTCAAATTTGATATATTGAAGAAAGTACGGAGTAACTTACACCAACTAGCGCCCTTGTACTGTGGATGACAAAAAGGGTTAACATTTATCAAGTGTCAGTTAAGTTAGATTAAATGAGGGAATTCAAACATTATGGTGATGGCACATCCTGGATGGGGAATTCTCTCTAATTCAACCGAGTCGGTTGCAAGTTAGCAAAGATAAAATTCTAAATTTAAATAAATATAGGTTTATATATTTATCACAATTATATAGATAAATATTTTTCTAGTTACTATAGCCATAGTTTATAGCTGCAAATAATACGAAACAGCGAAGAACATAAAATAGGACACTTACCTTTTGTTGTTCAGGACTTTTCTTTGGATCGTTGATCACGAAAATGGTGTAAATTATAGCAACTGCATTCAACAATAAAAATATTCCATTCACACCGTAGTACCCTAATGCATTTAATAACACCCCACTTAGCACCCATCCAAAGGGAGAGGCAAGTAGTACAGAAAAGGCTAGAACGCTGACCCTAAAGGTTCTATCCTCGTTAGTAGTAATATCACTAATATATGCAAAACATATCATAAATAAAATACAATATCCTCCCGTCAATCCGTCAATAATAGCCCCAGAAAGGACGAGCATTTCCAACGTGGTCTCATAGAAGAAATACACCTGTATTATGCTGTTGATACCACCGAGTAAGTATCCGGTTATCGGAAGGATTAAGAAAAGTTTCCTGTACCCTGTTTTGTCAGAGAAGGAACCGACGAAAAGCGCAAGAATGCAGATCATTGTTGCCGTTAAATAAGTTTTCCATACAAGAGTGTTGGCTATCAGTTGTTGTGTTTCTCTTTCATAATCACTATGAGCCTCACCGTCTTGTTGTATCAAAGAATCACAAATTTCTGTGGAGAAGTTTAAGTTCACTCTACATGCTTTTTCCAAATTCAGGTTCTGCGATGCCATAGTGTGCAACGTGGATGCAGTCATTACCAAAAATAAACATGGTTCTATAGTTATATTTTTATACACATTACAAATTTTCTCTCTGAAACTCGAATTGTTTTTTTCTGTTACATCTTGATCATCTAGTCTTGCATGTTCATTATTATGCTCTATTTGATTGTGTTCCTTATATTTTTCTGTATTAGTATTCATTTTAAAAGACACTTTTAGCACATTACTTTACTGTTCAGTTGAATGTATATACTTGTTTATATTACAAGTATTGTAAGCGACTGTATAAAGATTTTATTTGAAACGAGAATTTATATGTGATGAACAATCTCTTGTGGTAGATTACTGTCGGCTTTGCGATAATATCTCCGATAACGATACTCGCGTAGTTATTTAATATTATTAAAATCTTCTCATATTTTGTTTGTTTTTGTGTAGACTATATGGTTATTTATTTATATATATTTTGCGATATTTACTTCACACGAAAGATATAATACATGTATGTTTGTGCAAACGTTTCTTATGTCTATTGATGCTGATAATCATCATCATCATCATCATCTCTATAAGTTTTATTATTACTACTAGTTTACTTTCATTAATATATATATATATATATATATATATTCTACTTTAATTACTTGTTCTGTATAGTCATAGTTACTAGACTACTTAGACTGTATAGTCTACTATAATATTATAAATATTTTTTCACCAACTATCTAAATGTCTTAGCCATGCATGTAACTTTTTAAAATATGTATATATATACATACAAACACTAACCCCTAAATTCCACAAAGGGGAGACAGAGGTATATAAAACGAGTAGGGGGCAAGTCTATTCCCGTCAACCGGGTACTTTAGGGATTAGATTCAAATATTGATGAATATGTTTAAAGAAATGGTAAAATAGAAGAAAAGGAGATGTCAGAAAAGGGATCATGCGTATTGCTGCATGGTTCGAGGCCTATACCTACCAGTACATACCTTTACACAGAAGGTGTAACAATTATAATGCTATATGTTCCCAGATAGTCATTTTTTACGACAAATTTAGATCTTTCAAATCTTTTCTGCTACGTGAATTAACTACAGCTTAGTTAATTCACGTAGCAGAGTAATCACGAGATGGGTCGATACATCAGACAATTCAAAGGTACATGTAAAACCTCTTGATCCCGTCAACTCCAGGTTAAATAATTTAATATAATCGAACCCGAAAGTTAATTTAGGAAAGTTAATTTTTTTATATAAGTGGTATTTGTATTTAAATTATTTTAGGGGCTCCAGTTTCTATAGTTATTGCAAGTATAGTACTGAGTAAGGCATTATATATATATATATATATATATATATATATAAATCTTATTTAAAGACAGAAAATCGGTTACTCACTTCTTTTTGTTCGGGACTCCTTTTTAGATCCTTAAACATAAAAATTGAATAAAGTGCATTGAGTGAGTGTAAGAAGACATATATTCCATACACACCGTAGAATCTTATCAACCTTAATAAAATGGGGCTTGGTCCCACTCCGATAGGCATTCCAACAGTTGTACAAATGTTTTTAATCCCCATCCTAAGTATTCTATCTTGTTCTGTTGTAATAGCACTTATATGCAAAAAATCTTTTAAAAAACAAATATAATACTCTACCCTCCAGTCAATCCTTAAATAATTGCGTAGGATCAAATCATAATTTCTAAATTGATCTGATACAAAAAGTATACGCCGAATATGTAGTTAATACCAACAAGTTCTCCGATAGTTGGAACAATCATCAAAAACTTCCTGCCTTCGTTTCTATGTAACTGAAATAGTTTCTATTTATTTAATAATTATACCATTTATAGAATAAGGTTCAAAGTAACCCAATGCAATGGAGAGGGCACATTGCTCGCAGAAATGACGGCTGATGGGGCCGTAAAGTTCTCCCAGGATTTCTTTTAATTAAATTTTAGCAGCAGCATTTAAAATATATTAGTCATATCAATATAGTAAGTGAATATGAGTCACCGTATATACTATTAATTAATACTAAAATACTACTTTTCACCAAGACCCGCTCACATAGCTGTTAGAATAATGGGCTATTTTGATACTTTGGAGGTGCAAATATTACTCCAACCTCCATACAACCCAGATTCCGTTTCATGCATTTTTTTTCCCATGGTTAAAAAGACATTGTGACTATCAAAGAATTTTGGAGGTTATCTTTACCTAGCAAGATACATTTTTTAAATATTTCGAAAGATGGTTCGAAATGCATTGAAGTTGGGGGGTCAATATTTCGAGTCAAACTTTTTTCACATTTCCACTATATTTCATTTCGCTAACAATGTGTGAACGTATGTTTGGAATTAGAAGGGTTTGGTGCGATCTAATTTTATCTGCATTTCACTTAAGGCCTTCTTTTTTATATTTGAGTACTGATTCTATTTTTTTGAGCAATCTTTTGTTTTAATTACTTTGTTATTGGCGAAGTTATATGTCAAAAAGTGCTGTAATAGATATGTTTTTAAAAAGATTACAAAAAATATCATTTTGTAACTGTTCGTACTGAAGGCCGAATAAACTCAAAAAACTAAATTAAATTATACAATTTTTTTTAAAGACAACGCCCGCATTAGGTATATATCCTGTGTCGCGGGGGACTTTACTTTACCCAGACTCGGAACAACAATTTGTGGATCACACAAAGTGACGTCCCATGTGGGGTTTGAACCCACAACACTCGATCATACATATTATATATATAATGAAATAATGAGCTATAAACTAAATTATAAACAGTTAATATGAGTGTTTGTTAAAAGTCTGAGAGTCTTTAAATTAAACCACTTTTAGTATTAATATATTATATAGATTGCATCAAAAAAGATCAGTCATGGAATGGATGAGGATCGCATAATAGATCCCATATTAGGAAATTCGTGATTTGCAGGAACTATAGGAACTACTTTAGTAAGTAATAACTTAAATAAAACTAACTGTGTAATTAAAAGAGAAGGTTTAGATGTAAGACCTTTTTTTTAAACGGGGGACTAAACCCTCAAACACGCCCACCCCTGTAACTCCTGTACACTAGGAAAAACAGCAGTGACACACCAAGTTATGACACTCGGGAAGGCCCAGGAAAAAACGTAAACTGTCTTGGAACCCGCAATGAAATTAATTGATGTAATACCTCCCAGAGACTTAGAGTCGGAGTGGTATTTGCTGGAAACCGAAGAGATTTTCAACCCCGTCATCATAAAAAAGTTGTGACACCTCGTATATACCAAGTGATAAACTTTTCAAAAGAGATAAAAACTATTTTAATGAAGGTGTGTGTTTTATGCACATCCTTTATTATTTTACTGCTGTTTGGTGTTAAAACAGGTAAGTTGAAGCTGTAAGGTATGTTTATACTTAATATTAGATACGGTGGGTGACGCCGTAGTCGATTACAACTTTCTATTCTGTGAGATGAATCGTATAAGTCTTTTCATTAATCATGTTTTATCTATATGTGTGTGTAACGATAGAAATGATTTTTCTTCAGATAAACTATGAGCATTTAAATATCAAGATAACTTCTTGACATATTATGTAATTGTGACTAACCAAAGCGTAGATTGATTGACATATCAGGACTAAAAGTACTTTATTGTGTAACGTACGTGGCACGTGTTTTGACTCACTATTTTAATTCTTTATAAAAGTAAGTTTTGTCCGCGGATTCTGTCACGTAACAGGAATTTTTTCCTCACTTTTTGCGACGGTTAGTGTTTTTTTTCATTTTCATTAACATGAAACACTGGAAACTAGTGATGGAATAGTCTTTACAATCATATTTAATTGTGAATTCTTAATTAGCAGTTAGCTAATTAATTGTAGTCGTGAAATTTCTTGAGCGTATGAATTAAAACGTACCTACACGAAATTTCGTCCCGTCATTCGTTAACGCCTCAAATTCACTCAGCGCGGGTTTTCTCATTCGCATCAACATTAATACAACTGCTATTGCTAAATTTTGAGCAGAACGATGACCGAGCGCAACACGATTAATTGAGAGTGCAAAGGATTTTATGGTCTACTTTAAAAGAAACGCTCCTATTTATATAATTATATATATAATTAGAGGAATTATCAGGACCATATAAGACTGGAATACATAGTATTGGCCGTGTCCACAATCTGATTATAAGTGAAACTAAAGGGAGGTAGCTAAGCGTGATTATGTCAATAGGGAATATGCATGTATTTTTTTTATTTTTTTAAACGATTCTACTAGTTATTACATTACCAAAAATAAATATAACACATCCGAAATATAAACCGTTAAGCAAAAATAAAATTATTAAAATCACTATCATTTTGGGGCAATTTGAACACGTCCATTTTGGCGCGCTTTTTTTGTGACGTCAGATTACACTTTCAGACGAATTCGATGTCAACAACAGAGTGAAGTTCACAAAGTTTCTGAAAGTTAAAAAAGTTAGTGATAAAAATTAACTTATTACCATGGAATAGCCAATAAAACTTATTTTAAATAATGTGCCGTTCCTTTTTGCCCAAATAATATCAAAACTGCACCTGACAAAGTATATTCAGTCATTGTGTTGAGTCTTTCTACACGGGAATTTAATAATTTAACACTGAAAACGTATTAGTTATTAACTTAAAATGAAACAAATAATCACCAGAAACCAAATATTACAAATACACACAACACACTCTTGACAGTGTAGGTTGACGTCACGTTTCATTCAACCAATAGCGTTGCGTTTTAGAAATTTGCGAGGGAATCTTAAAAAAGCCAATTTTTGATGATTAAATTTCACTATTAAATTAAAATAAATTTCAAAAATAATTGTAGGGGTATCTTTTTTTAGCAATAAAAATTACAAATAGAAATATTTTGTCCATTTTGGTGTCACGTGCATATTCCCTATTCCCGTACTTAAACATGATTATATACTTATCTATTATTTGTATAAGATTTTCTATATTGTTGTCACGATGTACCTTTCGATATGGTATCCGTTGTTGATCAGTTTCCAACTTAATTTAACCTACGGCACCGAGACCTGGAAGGTAACGGTAGGGCTAGTCCTATGTCAACGACAAGCCGGAGATCCGAAGAGATTTTCAACCCCGTCAACAAAAGGGCTATTCTACAAACTAAAATCGATAAACATGCTATCAAGCAAGCTATTCTTGGAGTTTACTTTTAAAATGATAATGAAGTCATCGGACTAGGATAGAAGTGACCAAGCATGCTGAAGTGGCAATAGGTCACGTCTGCCGTAAAACGGAGAGGCGTTGGAGCAAACGCGGAAAAGGAAATGGACAGTAGGACGTTCCAAAGACGTAGTAACTGATATGGCCTATTACATTATCAGAGGTTTTTGTCTAGAATAGATATACTTCTTGACATAGGCGATAGGCATTAGGCGATAGGATTCAAAAAGTGGTTGTAAATATTCCAACTCTTGAGTCAAGCTTCAACACAGTTCATGAATACTTGTAGTTTGTTAATCTTGTCGGAGTAGCAAAAAATATACTGTTCACAATTACTTCCTCTTCGGTCAGGATAATTAAAATAATATAATATACCTCACACATTTCACACACGGCCGTCTGATCCCAAACTAGGCAGAACCTGTGCTATGGGAACCAGACTGCTGATAAACATACTTACATATTTTTAAATACATACATACATATTATAGGTAAATTACACCCAGACACAGAACAAATGATCATGCTCATCACACAATATTTGTCCTGGGTGGGAATCGAACCCGCGACCTCCGGCTTAGCAGTCAAGGGCACTAACTACTAGACCAACAGGCCCGCCAAATTTTGTCTGCAACAGATTGTAACAATTGTACTCTATGTATAGTTAGTTAGGTTAGTTTCTATGAGAATAAAAACGGAATAAACAACATATCTATAAGTTAAGACATGATAACTGATAGATAATGTATCTATATAGGCCGAAAAGGCCTTCTCATTCGTATAAAAAATAAAGTATATATTTTTTTGCTTTTACAAGGTTACATTCCTCTAAACATTCTGGCGTGGGTGGCATCCGAGGGGAGTTCCGCACGGAAAAAAAAATGAGATTAAGGGCAATACTGTGTAATTATTTTTATATTTACTACGAGTTTTTTATAATAGTTGCTAATTTCCTTCAAAACCCTTACTAAAGATTTCTAGCGTAGGATACTATACTATCACTTGAAAATTACACAGACTAGTACCTTCTTCACCAAGAGATTTCTAGAAGAAGAAGTTCATTCACCGTTTGAAAGACTATCAATTTCTCTTGAAACGCGTCTTGTCATCGTCAATGGAAAAAGTATGATCTAAGTCAAGGTACTTTTCACACATAAATATAGCTATCAGCATCTTATATACTGAAGTAACACTAAGAGAATAGCCACGTTCAACTAAAGCTGCAGTTTCGAAGGAAGTTTTCGAATGATTTCATTGTAAAACTACGTAATACGTAAATTCATAAAAAAAAAACTGAATATTGAACAATAACTGAAAGTAACAGTTACACAGTGCTTTTATTGTTATTATGGGTTTCTTGTCAGTTGTTACAATTCTAACTAATTTAGTTTTAGGTCTATTCTAAAGAATCGCAATGGGTGACCAAGGGATAGGTGCAGGCCTATACACCTAAATTTTGGATACAGCAATTTAGTAAAACTCATAATAAGTCAGACTCATTGTAGTTGACGGTAAGCCTATTGCCAATCAGACGAAATTCAGGACATTAATGAGAATGGGAAACTTGAACAAAGCTAACAAAAAAAATAGTTTTGAATATTGAAATACTAGATACCCTTTTAAGTTAAATTAATATTAAGTCAGACTCATTCTAGTTGAAGGCAAGCCCAAAAGACGAAATTTTGAAAAATAATGGGCATGGGAAAACTTGAACAATGCTTACAAAATAAATAGTTTTGGGAGTTTAAATACTCGATCCCTTTTTTCGTTGAATTAAAAATAAGTCAGACTCATTCTAGTTGACGGCAAGCCTATTGCCAGGCAGACGAAATTTTGAAAATGGAATGGGAAAACTAGGACAATGTTTCCAAAATTATAGGTTTTGAAGTTTAAACACTAAAGACCAAATTAATAAAAAAAGATGAAATAAATTATACGTTTATTTCTGTTATCTATACTCATTAATACTGTATCATCGATTTTCGAAAACAAAGTAATGTATTCCCTATATATATATATACACCTACCTGTTTTATTTTTTATTTTATTTATCAAGGTTCACTAAGGTTTGTATACAAATATAATATTATAGGACAGCATTCATAGTTGACAGAACATTAGTTTTACAAAGTTTTATAAACATTAGTTAAACAAAGACATAAAAAAAACTTACAACACAAGAACATAAAACTATAACTTAACAGTGAAAAAGTGTTCTAAAACTTATTATTCGAGCTCAATAGGAGGTGATTTTAATTTTCCAACTTGCTTTCTGTGCTCGTAGAACAGATAACTGAAAATAATTTTTGTTACGTTAGATTACTGTAAATTAGATGAAAATAAAATTATTAATCTAAATTAATTGGCGCTTATTGGAGGAAGCCTTCGTTTAGCAGTGGACGGCGATAGGCTGATGATAATAATTGATCCAAAAAACATCCTACGATATTACACTGAAAACTTGCATTATAACAAGTATAAAATATATATTCAAAGAGTAATTTTCATAAACCTCAATTTAAATTTTAAAAATTGAAATCATTTCGAAAATGTATTTAAATGTGTAAACTAATTTAATACTCTAAACAAATGAGTAAAAATAACAGTACTCTTACCAGAGCACAGCAATACAAGGGATCGTTAATAGTGCTCCTAACAGGAACACGGCCCCCGGTAGAACGTCCAACGTTGCTGCATACACCCTCGTATACATTGGCACATATAGTAAAGGCATCAGGTTCTCCACCATTCCAACAACGGAGCTTAGTTTACCTAAAACATATTTAAAATCGTTAAAGAGATTTGTTTTTTAATTAGAAATATGACCATCCACGTACAATCATTTTGCAAATGTAGGTAAGTCGAGTGATCACACTCTGCGTAGGTCACATAGCCAAACAGGTGCTGGATGCAAGAAAATGTAAGCGTGCTCGCTTAAAGATGAGAACAGAATCGGCAAGTGGAGTGGGGTTAAGTGCGAAGCTTAGAACTGAATGCGATGGAGGATTACTGTGGACACTCTCTGCCCCATCTTGGGGACATAGGATATTAAGTCAAGTAAGTCGTGGTATGTTGTGGTGACGAAAAACATGCTTTAATGATATTTAATGACGACACAGTGAACTATGGAGTAACTACTAATCTTGGATCGCGCAATGAAAGTTCTAGCACTGTCTTATCATCTTTGTTTCATCCGTTGGGCTGTGGCTCACCAGGCAAGATCACGCCGTCTGGTTAGAGACGTTTTCCTCCTCCTACACATCAACCGTTTCGTTACGATAAAATATATAACTAGCTTTTGCCCGCAGCTCCGTCCGCGTGTTTGTTGGTTATCGCGGTATATCGTGCCCATATCCTTTATCAAGAATCAAACTATCACCATACCAAATTTCATCTGAATCAGTCCAGCGGTGATTAATACCATACGAACCCCCCTTTTCAACCCCCCTTTTCACCCCTTAAAAGAATGATTTCTAGGATAAAAACTATTCTATGTCCTTTTCCGAGACTCAAACAATTTCTATACTTAATTTCATCTCAATCGTTTCAGCGGTTTCAGCGTTGAAGAGGTAACAGACAGACACACAGCCAGACACTTTCGCATTTATAATATTAGTATGAATTAACCTAGAATGTAGCTAATTTTTAATGACTTACGAGAATGGACAAAATACAAGTGAGATGCAAAGTGAAACTCATAACTAAACAGATCCATCAGGTCAGTTGAAGATTTGTTACTAAAAATCTTACCTAGTTCCTCTACTTCCACCAGCTTAGACATTATTGCCCGCATAGCAAATAGTGCAGTCCCATTCATTATATCAATTACCGGTCCTGCAATCATAAATTAATTATAAATAACTTGACACATTTCAAACTCGGCCATCTGATCACAAATTAAGCTTGTACTATAGGAACCAGGATATACCAATATGTACTTATTTTGTAAGATTGTTAAATAAAGGCTATTATTATTATTATTATGATTATGGGAACTAGACTGCTCATAAACATTTTAATAATTAACTGCAAGTTGGTTGGGAGACACAACAAGTGAAGTGCTCAACACATAATTAAGATTTTAGATGTTTGTTTTATTTTATCCTTTTGAACTGTTAGTTATAAGCCACAAAGACATCATTTAATGTCTATCCTTTAACGGTTGATAGTTTTTTTGTAAGAATGATGTATTGCCGGTAAATACTTTTGTTAGATAACCTTTTTTTACAATAATGATATAAGTGAGGGCTACATAAAGTCTTTTATTGGTCATCTGAAAAACTCTATGCACGAGTTATTTAAAACAGCTTAATTCTTTGGTTTGAAAATAAATTAATATATAAACAAAATTGAATAAATTTGATTAGAACACCCTGTTTTTTTTAAATAAAATACAAAATGTTTAAAGTTTCGCACTATAGCCCTATAATATTATGATTTTTTCGTTATGTTGCTCTTGCACTAAGTGAGCGATATTTACCTGTCTTTATTGAAACTCTAGGCTATCGATCACGATCACTAACCACAAGACCAAGATGTTAGTCAAAGTAATTATGTCTGTTTTTATTACACAATATATTGTCTAAGCTACTTCAAGAATATTATATACCTGGTTATTTGTGCTTTGGAACATAGGACTATATGTATCATATATTAAAATGACTTTACACCGTAGTTAAGTAGTAGAAATTAAAGGAACGAAGAATTCAGATTATTAAAATTCCTTAAGATGTGGGCGCATTATAGTCTGTGAATCTCTTTTAAGAGTTAACTACATGATACTTGTTTACATGTGAAACCTTCTCAAACTTTCTTGATTTTATCGTCATATTTATGAATATCGATTTCATGAAATGTCAAGAAATCGATATTCATAAATATGACGATAATAATATCTTTAATGACTCCTACGATATTATATTTATTGCTATGATTTCAAAATAAGAAATGATGTAAAACGTTTACGTTATTTAATAATCATTATAAAGTATAATAAATATATAAAAATAGGTAACAAATTTCACTTAGTCACTCCTTTACGATTACATTATGTAATTACATTTTTATTCTCTGACTTGTCTATCAAATAGGGCCGGCACTAGTTTAAAGACAAAAATAAAAACTAATTGGACGTAATATAAACAGAATGGTGTTTTAATCAGAGATTCGAATTCTGATGTTCAACTTTAAATATTAGTTCAGAATTTTGGGCGAGGGGATAAAACAAAATTCTAGAAACACTGTCGTGGCGATATGTAATTAATTTGTTTTCTATGCCTTTTTTTATTTGTTCAAAGTCTGTAATACATATATTATATACCTTAAGTTTGACAAACTGTAAAACAGTTCATCGGCAGAAGTTCTCGTTTAAGGATACATAATATAGAATATAATAATCTTTATTGTACACCAGTTTAGTACATAATACATACAATAAATAGGGTATTTCAAGTTAATGACCATGTACAAAAATAATGTTTTAGAATTTTAAATTTGTTAAAATATTTTAAATTACTGTCTCAAGTATATAAACAGGCTATGCTTTCAAAGAAAAAATAAAAAGTAATTTGGGTGTTGCAACATTAGAAGGGGTAAATTTTTTTTTAGTTTATTTCTAAATTGATATATTTTTAATCTTTCTGTTTTTTCTCTTTTTTAAGGACAACTCCCACATTAGGAATATATCTTGTGTCGTGAGGGACTTTACAAACATACATGAAACGGACACAAAGAACACCCAGACTCAGAACAATAATTTGTGTATCACACAAAGTGTCCCATGTGGGGATCGAACCCACAGCACTCAGCGTAGTAGTAGTAAACGGCTTGGCGACCGCTTAAACCACTACGTCATCTGAAAAAAAAAACTACTTGTTTTATTACATCTGGAGGCAATTCTTTGAGTTACTTTATATCTTTATGATAACCCGTACACTATGTCACACGTTTCATGCCAGGTTAACGTGTTGCCAGCACAATAAATATGAAACTTGTATATTATGCTTGAAATAGTAGGGACGCCATGTCTTTACTAACTGAGTAAATATGTAATCATAAAACTGTGTACATTAGATTATGTCTACCAACACGTGATAGCGAAAGTGCTACGATATACTATTTTGGGAACAACTGCCACGATAAAAAACATTCACCTTGGCTTTATTCAATATTATTTGACGAACGCAAAAATTTGACCTACCCATGTAGTGTTCAAAGTCCGATATGATTTGTTTTATAATGTATATACTCACGCTTTTATCCGTGAAAGGGTAGTTAGTGACATATTACCTGATTACATTTTAGTCCTATTTTCGTAACAAACAAATAAACCTGTTGCTATTAACCGGCAAATTGGAAAATAAAGCTAAATAAAAAGGGAGTACTAGTGTAAGTAAAATATATTGTGTATACAGATGGATTGGGGGGTATGTCACCAATAGTTAATAACAGCTGTCTCCGGATCTCTTCTATCTCAGATCAGAGTGTCGCCCTTGTGGTTAACTTATGGTTTAAGTTGGTTCGATTCTAACACACCAGCCCGCAGTAAACCCCGGTGGGGATTTTTCAAATAGGTCAAGACCCCATACTAGTAAGATTGGCTATTTATGTGACCTGATTGGAATCTACCGTCATAATAATTAATTGTTGTTAGGTACCTAACTCTTTATAAAAAGCTTCATCGATCATCATCGACAGCCTTTACTAGTCCACTGCTGGACATAGGCCTCTCCTTAGAAAGGAGGTTTTGGCCTACTACTATTAAAAGCTTACCTAAGTAAAATATGGCACCAGTTTGAGCAAACCCGTAGACAAACGAAGCGGCTATTTTACTTAATGATGATATAATTCCCAGTAGAGAATCATGCCAACCGAGATGTTTGGCGAGCACCAAAATTGTGAACGTCGTTCCTAAAATACAATTATATTATTATTATCAGACAAAACCCACTTACCACTTAGGTGACTTACATGTCCTCTAAAAAGTTCAAAAATTGAAAATAAAATAATTGGAACCCACGGGTTCAGAGATTTAGTAGTTATAGCATAAAGCGTCGGACTTGTTATCAAGTGGTTTCGTGCTGGAACTCCACCTGACATAGTGTCTACATGAACCCCACCTAGGTTCATGTCGATACTATGTCAGGTGGGGTTATTAGTATACTTCTGACAGTAATCCATTCTTTACACAACTATTTAGATTCATTGAGTATACCTCCAGAATAGCAGTAGTACAGAAACGTAGACCTATACTAAATAGGTGCCCATATACCTAAACGGTTAAGAAGAATTTTGTTTGTCAAATTGAAATAAAGTTTGACTCAAGTGGATTACACATGGCTGAAATTGTTGGTAAAGATATCTTTACGAGAAGTTCAGTATTATTTCAATATGAAGCACGTATATTTGAAAACATTCTTAAAATAATAAACACATTATAAAACAACGGTGTGAAATTTCTTACCAATAGAATTTATGATTAAGTTGTAAGTCTGGAATAAGCTGAATTGTATTTCATCCCATTGAAATCTGAATCTTACAGACAAATACAAAATGGATAATTCACCTGAAATATTTTAATTAATAACATTAAAAGGATATAGCGGGTAGCGCGTTTAACTATTTTAAATTTTTGTAATGATTTAATTAATATTGATGAAAGTTTAGTTAAAAAGAAGACTACACGAAGTACTAATTCTACGTTAAAAGTATAAATACTAATAGAGTATAAATATTAGAATATAAAAAACGAATGACCCTAGAGTTGAACATGATATGTGACATGCATTTGTTACACAAAATCCATACATCCATCTATCATCCATCACACATCACCATCCGTCACATGGTAGTGGTGATGGTAATGGTGATGGTAGATGGTAGTTAAGATGACAGCATCTCAACTACCATTTGACGGATAGAAAACCAATTAAAGCACTTCGTGCTTACCTGACTTTTTACACACTTTCTATTTCACCAAACTATTTACACAGATAACAGGAAAGTGAGAGAAAACACACATTCACCGATGTTACACTTCAATTTCATATTTTCAATTTATTTTGTAATTTAATTAGGTATAAATTACGTCATTATGTCAGTAAAAATTGCTTACGATATTAAGCCCACCTCATTCGTATTCACAAGAAGAGTAAATTAACAAATAAGAAGCTATTACTTACCCTGCATCGGTCCAAAAATTACAGTAACCACACCTAAAAGAACACACAAACGTAGTCTTCTGTTATTAGGTGCTTTTCTTACTATCACACGAATGGTTTCTTTCACGTTTGTAAAATTGAAGAAAATACGGATTAAATGACAACATCCTCGACTGGCATGCTGTGGATAAAGAATTTACCTCTTTTAGAGTTTTGTAAAACTTAAGGTTATCCACAATTCTTTACTTTAAACTGACCAAAATCTTACTTAAATTAACGGTTCAATTAAGTATATTTAACACCTCTTTTTCTAGGCTTGATTTCACGTAAAACAAATTTATTTGTCTAGCTCGTCTTATGAAGGTAGTCTGCTGTTCACTATACATGATGAAATGCAGCCTTCTTACTTGGTTAGTTTAAAAAGGTATTCTAAAATAGTTTTTAACTTCGAGTGTAATTAAGTGTAAGATAAATAAAGGAAAGAGAAAACAATATTTCTGTTTCATGCTACAGAATGGTTATCTCCTTATAAAATTATATAAATTATGTATGATACTATTATTTCTGAATAAATAATTATGTTTATTCGGAAATGACTAAGATTATCACAAGACAACCTGTGACCATGGCCAGTGCAACCTGAGCGAAACGTTAGGCAATTCAAAGGTATGCACGAAATTCCTAACGCACTCAGTGTTAATTTCAGTTAGCTAAAAGTAAAGAATTATTTATTTTAAGAAAACATGTTACTTACTTCTGTTTGTTCAGGATTTCTCTTTGGGTCTTTAAGCACAAAAATTGAATATAATACATTGAGAGCATGTAAGGAGATAGATATTCCAAACACACCGTAGAATCCCACCAACCTTAATAAAATTCCACTTAGTCCCACTCCAATAGGCAGTCCAAAAGTTATGCAAAAACCTACTAGACCTATTCTAAATGTTCTATCTTGTATTGTAGTAATAGCACTAACATACGCAAAAGCTGTCAAAAAACAAATACACCACCCTCCAGTCAATCCTTCAATGATCGCGTCGGAGAAGATCAACATTTCTAAATTCATCTGATAGAAGAAGTACACGTTAAATATATTGTTAACACCAGAAAGTAATTGTCCAATGATTGGAACAATAATGAAAAGTTTCCTGTATCCTGTTATATCAGAAAAAGAACCCACAAAAAGAGCAAGTAAGCAAGGCAACGTTGCCGTCAAATAGGTTCTCCACGCAAGAGCACTCGTTAACAATATTTGTGTTTCTCTTTCATAACTATTATGAGCGATACCATCTTGTAGTCTCAAAGAATCACAAATTTCCGCAGAGAAATTTAAATTCACTCTACATGCCTTTTCTAAGGCGAGATTTTGGGATGCCAAATTGGTGATTATAGTTCCAGTTACTATCAAGAAAATACATGGTTCCACAGTTATATTTCTCAATACATTGTAAACCTTGTCACGAAAACTCAGTTCTTTTTTTTCACTGTCACCTGGATCTTCTTCTCTTAAAGGATCTACTTCAGTAGGTTCAACATGATTGTGGTTGTTTACTCCATTTCCAGTATGAGTAGTCATTTTAATCGATTATTTAAATTAATTGAAACTATACAACTGAAAAAGTTCCTATTTTATAAATATACTATTTATATAACAAACATTTTAAGCGTGTACTGTCGAATGATTTTATCTGTCACTAATGATTGAGGATCTATTTCAATTCATTTTTATCGGTTTATGATAAATTTGTTTAGTGACGCATGCTCATATATTACATCGATGTGACTAAAATATATGCACTAGTAGTGTATATATTTTTGATCATCCTGACTTAATAAAAATCTCATCAACAGTCTATAATAGTCCACTGCTGGCCATACGCCTCTTCTTAGAAAGGAGGTTTAAGCCTACTATACCACCCTGGCCAGACGGGTTGGTATAGGATTTGTTTCAAGTTTTCCTTTTCTTTGCAGTGCTGCTGTCTTGTAGCTTGGTCTCGTAGTCGGCTCTTACGACACCCACGGGATGAATAAAGGTGGTAACATTCCGTATTCTTAATCCGTCATATCCGTGTGATATAATAAAAATGCACTAAGGTTAATAGAAACTGGACTCGTTTAGAACCAAACGGAAATAAATTTATAGTAAGAGAGATTTGTTGCTATATCATTCCGTTGGCATTTGTTCCATGGAGTATAACAGGCAAGGCCTGATGAAAATCATCAGAAAATGTACTATACTATAATGACCTTCTGTCATATCTACTGATTTGAATTACGTTACGTAATCTTTATACGATTTCGCTTGGTGTGTATTAAAAAGTGCTGAAATAGATTTAGGTATTTTTTAAATTCAATGAATAAAAATATCATTCTGTAACTGTAGGACAGGCGGGATAAAAGGGCAAGTAAACTCTAATAACTATAAACATACGTGTTAATAATTGAGGTTTATTTTAAAGTGTGCTGTGAATTATATTTAATACACAGATTTTATTTAAGCTAATCCCTGTTATCTTATATTTTTAAATATTGTTAATACATTAGTATTATATAAATATATTAGTATAATTTTTTAAATAACTATCAAGAAACATTTTTTTACCTTGTTTACATTTATTTTACAAACCGATTATTTGGCACCTTCAGGTAATCTCTCATAGGACTAGGTTATCCAATATTATATTATCTGATTACGTTAGTTGATAACGCGTAAACGTAAATAAATTGATTTCATGCACACCATCTACGAAATAGCGGCACTCTATTGGATATAATTTTCAATTAGACTGGTTGGCTGTCGACGCCGTACAGACAATCTTATCTCTAGATCTAGATAAATATACTTTTTTAAGACTATAAATATCTGGTAGAAGTTAGTAATCGTTTTGAAAGAATTAAATAAACTTCTCCTTACGAAACTACAAGGTGTTTGTGTCACACACTCGTATTAGTCTTTGGTAAGGGACTGGGGTATACATAGGGTATACCTATAGAATATACAAAAGGTATACCCATTTCCTTTACAATTGAATCAAACTGAGATACCCCGCGCGGAAAGAACACATCAAGCTAGTCTCAGGCCTGCTTTTGCTTGGGAATCGTTATCCCAAGGCCAGCGCTCAGGAAGGTCGCAGATGATTCTGCGCTCTCCGGCACCTGGTTCCACTTCTTCGTAACGCCTCTATAGGTTAAACTTATTATATGATTACATACCCCCTATTTCTAAAATAGTAGATGTTATACACAAAGTGTTCAAAACAACGCTATTTTGTGCGGACTTCAAAGTAGCACATTGCTGTTTTGGTTTTCTTATTAATAATAATAATATTCTACCATATTCACACAACGCTATCTAGCCCTAAACTAAGCAGAGATTGTACTATGGGTACTAGACAACTGGTATAAATACATAATTATATACTTTTTTTTTGTAAATACATACACATTATACATAGAAACACCCAGACCAAATCAAACATTAAATGTTCATGCACACAAATGCTTGACTTGAGCGGGAATCGAACCCGCGACCTTTGGAATAGCAGTCTGTTACACATACCACTACGCCATTCGGTCGTCAAATCATTCCTATTAGATGTTATGTTTTTACAAATTTATATTTTGATCTATTCAAGCGAAATGTCTAATCGAAGGCTAAAACGAATAATTTTTTGTATACTTAGAGCATACTGAAAGTTTCTGGATTCCAATAAATAGGACTAGATATAAGACTTACGCTATATTTATAGTTTTTCAAAGTATATTCCCTCGCAATTAATGATTTTTTGGATTCGCTGAAACCACAAAGCAGTTGGGCCAGTCTTCCTTGGCTTCATGGAACGCATTCACCGCCGATTCAAGGTCTCTAAGTTTGTCTTAAATTAAACCTTAGCGAACATTGCGTCGAGGACGGTTTTCGCGAACTTTGTCTAAGACTCTGGGCAAGCAAGTGTTGACATACCAATCTGCAGTCACTATCCTTTGATATTCAAGCGATACTGTAGTGAAATGTCGAAATTGATATTCCGAAAAAAAGAGCAACCCTTTTGTTTTACCAATGCTTTGACTTTCGTTGGCAAATCTTTAAAAGGAAAAACTCACACTGCCAACTGGCTTTTTCTTTCGGGTTCAAAGCAGTACACCAAGATTTTGTCACCTGTCACGATATTATAGACAGCCAATGACTGACCTCTGTTAAACTTTTTTATCATTTTACAGCACCACTGGACACGCAGGCGTTTCAAGTAATTTTTTTGTCAGTTTCAAAACTTAAGAGAGTTACAGTCTGTAACAGCAGTCGCCGGCCGACCTTTACTTACCTCATCATGGAGACAATTACGTCTACGTACTACGTACTACGTACTAAATACTCCAAACCACAAATACATAGACCTACAATATTAGGTCACAACGAAAATCATAAAAAATAATTGAACCAAAATGTTAAACAGTTAAAATCATTTTGATAGCGACACATAATTTTCGAAAGGACGATACAATGAAGAAACAATGACAGCCTCGCAATTAAAAAGTAACATGTTAACAAAAAAATTCTTCGAATTCCATAATTGTTTTTTCATTCTTTGATTGTAAGTGGCCAGAACCAGAAACTTTCAGTATGTACGTAAATACATACAATTTTGTTTTGATCTGCAATTTATTTGAACTCGTAACAAGTCAAATGACGGCAAATCTATTGCCGATTATACGGTTTGGAAATTATGAAGTTGGGGAACGTGTCCAAAACAACCAGTTTTGAATTCTCAAACACAAAAAATCATACCAAAAAAAAAGGTAAACAAGTTGTAGACCTTTATTTCTGTTTTCTGTACTTCCTTATATTTTACTTATGTTTATTAATACTGCATTATCGATTTTCATAAACATAGTGATATACTCGTATTACAATACACTTAATCTAACCAATAGCGAAAAATATTCTTAAACTTATTATTCGAGCTCAATAGGAGATGATTTTAATTTTCCAACTTGCTTTCTGTGCTCGTAGAAAAAATTACTGAAAAACAATCTTATGTTAGATTACTGTACATTAAATTAATGTAAACCTATTAATCCAAGAAAGGAACAAAAAGTTTTATGATAAAACTTGCATTATAACAATGTAATAAATAATTTAGGTGTTTTCGAAAACCTTAGTTTAAAAATAAATAAATTAAAATCCTTTTACAAAAATGATTGCCCGATTAAAATTAAAACAGTTGCAAAACAAAAAAAAAATAGAAAAACAAATGAATAAAAAATGCTCTAACCTTAGTACAGCAACAACAGGAAGCGTTAGAAGTGCTCCTAGCAGGAACACAGCCCCCGGTAGAACGTCCAGCGTTGCTGAATAAACCCTCGTATACATTGGCACATATATTAAAGGCATCAGATTCTCCGCTATTCCAACAACGGAACTTAGTTTACCTAAAAATATATTTAAAATATTAAATGAGATTTTGTTATTACTTAAAATATAACCAAGTATATACAATCTTGTTACAAATGTTGGTAAGTTAACATCCACATACAAGATGCTTTGATGTCATATACTGAAAACATACTGAGTTACTCCTAATTCTGAAGTCACAATGAATCTTCTCGCATTCTCTCATCATCTTCGTTCCGTCTGTTATACAAATACATGTGAACTGGTGACAAACACTCATAACTAAACAGATCACTTGAAGATTTGTCACTAAAAATCTTACCTAATTCCTCTAATTCCACTAGCTTAGACATTATTGCCCGCATAGCCAATAATGCAGTCCCATTCAGTATATCAATTACCGGCCCTGGAATCATAAATGAACCACTTGAAACTTTTCAGACCCGTGATCCATGACCACAAGTTAGGCAGAACGATGGTAATTGAACTGGCATACGGCCTACCAAGTCACTTGTGCTTTGGTACATGAATAACATATCTTTAAACCCTTGTTTAATTAGCCCTGACTAGTCTCCTGGGAATACCTAGGCGTGATGAAAATCTTATCACTGCTTTTGTGAGTTACGTGCCATATGCCTGTAATTAGGTATAATTGAATGTAGAAAAGTGCTATCTATGGCAAAGTTAATTTCCTTTAGCGTTATTTTCATCCGAGTTATAAAGGAAGAGTTTCTCAATTCGGCTGTTTTTTAATGTTTGTTACAGCAAATCTCTATCATCTATGAATTGATTCGGAAAATTAATTTTAATTTGAAGGGTATCCTTGCCGTTAATACCTATTCGCATTACTAGGATTGAATGTTAAGGAATGAAGAATACAGCTTATTACAATTTTATTTAGCATGATGTAAGCCATATGAGTCGATGAAATTTCTGTAAAAAATTATTGTATGATATTTGTTTGTTTTCACAGGTGATGATATTCACAGTTTGAAATAAAGGTTTCATTAAATTCAATATCTTTATTGATTCCTTTAATTTATTGATTCACTGCTATAATCTTTAATTTATTGAATCGCTGAATAAAATATTTAAGAAATGATGTAAACGGAGTATGTCATTCAATAATCATAAAACAGTACGAGTAAATGGAAAAAAATATGATAATAAATTTTACTTCTTTTAAAGCCAGTCATCACCACCGAACGATTACATAGTTAAGCCGAATTTCGTTTTCCTTCTATGAGTCTTCTTTAAAGAGGGACTGGCATCATTTAAAAAAAAAGAGAATGTATATGGATAAATCCACAGAATGGTGTCTTCATCAGAGATTCGAATGTTTTAACTTTATTGAGAATACGGTATGTCACCACCCCTATTCATCCCGTGAGTGTCGTAAGAGCCGACTAAGGGAGCAAACTACGCAGGACAACAACACTGCAAAAGAGAAGGAAATCTTGAAACAAACCCTATACCAACTCCAATAATAGGTATAATAGACCAAAATTTCCTTTCTAAGGAGATACCTATGTCAAACAGTCGACTAATATTATAGGCTGTTGATGTGATGTGAACTTTAGAAATATTATTTCAGTTCAGACAATTAAGCGGAGGGATTGGATCCAATCTTGGGAACACTTCTGTGGCGATATTTTTTATGGTATTGAGGGGCAAACGAAAAGACGGGTCACCTGATGGTAAGTGACTGCCGCCGTCATGGACACCTAGAACTAAGGAGTCACAAAAAAAACTAATTTCTTGCCGGGGTTGTATGTCTATGTTATAACACCCAAATGTTTGTTTGTTATATACATTTTATTTCATTTCATAACAATTTAATAAAACAATAAACATCAAAAGTTTTGTATTTTTCTTGTGTTCAATACTAACAACGGCCTGCCTTCAAAAGTCGAGCAAATAAAAACGACTAATAATGTAGACATTAGATTGCGAATATAAACATATGATAGCGCAAATACTACGACATACTATTTAAGGCTATCCGACCCTACCTTAGCTGTATTCGATTTTACTTGTGGTACCTACTCTACAATCTTATATAGCCCGATATGGCTTGTTTTATAACATATTAATATTAACAGCTTCAAATGGATTAAAATTTGTTCAGTATTTTGATGCTTTGTAATACGTAAATAAAATATCTCACAAAAAATTATATCGTAAAATGATTATTAATTAAAATTAAAAACTTGTTATGTATTTCAACAAGAAAAGCAAATTTAAATATTAAACTACTTACATGTTAACAATATACAAAGTGAAATCTGACACTTACTGACAACTTTTTATAGAAAGCTCACCTAAATAAAATATGGCGCCACTTTGAGCAAATCCATAAACAAAAGAAGCAGCTATTTTACTTATTGATGAAATGATTCCCAGTAGAGAGTCATGCCAACCGAAATGTCTGGCAAGCACCAAAATTGTGAACGTAGTACCTAAAATACAAAATAAAATACATTATTATAATTGTAAGCATGAGTAAGGTAGGTCAACAATCATATTACTGACTTCAATGGATTCTACAAAGATCAAACAATCAAATTAAAGAAACTGAACAGAAAGGTTCAGACAGAAAGCAGTACTAGCATGATGCATAAGGCGTCGCATGAACACCAGCCTGTACTCTTTGGACATAAATCAATTGAAAACATAATTACTTAAACCATTTCGATTTGGTATAGAGGTTAATAAGAACAGGGTAGATTCCTAGGTTTAAAATAAGATATTTGACCTCCATCATTAAATACAACATCTTCTATACAAATAAATAAAATTGGAGTGTCTGTTTCTAATATTAAAATAACTGCTTTTTACTACATGCATATGTATGTTTACACGGTACATATGCCAAAATAACATTTTTTACAATATTTGTCTGTCTGTCTGTCTGTTTGTTCCGGGTAATCTCTGGAACGGCTGGACCGATTTCGACGGGACTTTCACTGGCAGAAAGCTGATGACATAAGGAGTAACTTAGGCTACTTTTTTTAGACTAACTTCACCCCGCGGCGTTGCCCGCGGTTATAACAACAAACGCGGGTAACACCGCGGGTCTCGGCTAGTCTTAAAATACAATTTGTCCTTCATGACTAATCTATTGTTTTCATTGATTTGATATCTTCAAATCAACATTAATATGTATAATTTGACAGTAGCTAGGTATAACGTCACGACATAGTTTTACACACAAAAATGTAAAGCATCCATCGTTTTGACGTTTTATAAAAAGACACTGATTTGACTTGACAGTAATCTACCGTATACTAGTAAGTGTAACCCACGTACACTACAAATTTTTGGTATTGTTAGTAAAATGATCTGTAATATAATTTTAATATTATTTCAATTCTACATTACGAACATTTTTGAAAAATTAGATTGTTCAAAGAATAAAGGCATGAAAAATAATGGTGTGCAATTTCTTACCAATAAAATTTATGATTAAGTTGTAAGTCTGGAATAAGCTGTATTGTATTTCATCCCATTGAAATCTGAATCTTACAGACAAGTACATAATGGACATTTCACCTGTAATATTTTAAATAATTTTGAAGTATAATAGTATATTTGTTGAAAGTATTTTAGTTTATTATTTCTTTATTTATTTTGTTTACACTTCCTGAATTACAAATTTGAACACATCATTATCTACCAGTCGATCTTAAGAGGCTTCAGTTAGGAACATGGCAGGTTCATACGTGCAATATAAAAATTGTGAACTCAAACTGAAAAAATAAAAGCTATGAACTAATATTTTATGTTTTAATCATGATTTAATTAATATTGATAAAGGTGTAGAACAAAAATAGACTACCGAAGCATGTATTAGAGTTACAGTCGTCATGATATTTAAATTGTAGTTCATAAACAAACAAAATTGCATGCTTCTATTTTATCTGTAGAGATTAGATTTTCAGCAAGGTAACTTAGTAATCGTATTGATAAAATAAAAACAACGTGCGACCCTGGAGTAGTCTCCCGCTTTGCTAAGGAGGGAAGTGGATTTACTGTATTTCCAACTCCTCCAATTTTCTTCTGATTAATTTCGTTGCGGGTTCCAAGACAGTTTAATTTCTTCCTGGGACTTCCCGAGTGTCATAACTCGGTGTGTTCGTGGGTCACTGCTGTGGATCCTGGTGTACAGGAGTTACAGTGGTGGGCGTGTGGGTGGGATTAGTAGTCGCATATGATGTGTTACATCTGATATGTCAACTACCATGTGACGGTCGAATAATAGCAAAGCGCGCTTCCCCACCTACGCTCCCTTCCCGTTTGATGAAATCATTCCCATAGATAGCAGCAAAGCAAGAAGAAACATGTTACACGTCGATAATTTGTTTTCTAGATTTACAATCTAGGCTTTAAGCCCACCTCTTTTGTAACCGTAAGAAGAGTAAATTAACAAATAAGAAGCTATAACTTACCCTGCATCGGTCCAAAAATTACAGTAACCACAAGTAAGAGAACGCACAAACGTAGTCTTCTGTTATTAGGTGCATTTCTCACTATCACACGAATGGTTTCTTTCACGTTTGTAAAATTGAAGAAAATACGCATTAAATGACAACATCCTCGGTCAGCGTGCTGTGGATAATGAAGTTATGAAATTTTCTCTGGTTTATAAAACTTCATGTTGACCGTTGTCAACAGCCAACTTCTTACTTTAAACTAAGGTCATTGGCACATAAAATATTTTTATATAATTTCGAAAATTGTATACTCTTTTTTAGGTCCTTATACATCGGATTTAATTATATTCTTTTAGTTAATTGGTCAAAATAAAAGTTGGTCTGCTGTTCACTGTACATGAAGAAAATACAGCCGTCTTACTAAAGTAGTTTAAAAAGGTCTTCTAAAACAGCTTTTAAATACGATTAATTAAGTGTATAAAGTAAATAAAAGAGGAAACAATACTTATGTTTCACGCTACAGAATTGTTAAATAATTAGTTTATTCGGGAATGGAGTAAACTGACCACGAGACAGCCTTTGACCATCACCAGAGCAACCTGATCGAAACATTAAACGATTCAAAGGTACGTGTAAAACCAATTGATCGCATCATTTCACGAAATTATTTGATATTTAACCAAATAGTTAAAAAGTTAGTATTTGAAAGTATATTTATGATAAACGTGTTTTGTATTTTATTAGAATTCTAAGTATAACTCAAATTAAAGTCTTTAAATCTCTTTCAAGAAACATTGCATTATAGCGGAAGATGAAAAATATTAGAAGCCAGGACTACATGGTTACAATATTTTATAATAATTATATTTGTGTAAAAAATATTTATGTGCTGAAAATATGATACTTACTTCTTTTTGTTCAGGACTCCTCTTTGGGTCTTTAAGCACAAAAATTGAATAAAGTGCATTAAGTGAGTGTATGGAGATAGATATTAAATACACACCGTAGAATCCTACCAACCTTAATAAAATTCCACTTAGTCCCACTCCGACAGGCATTCCAAAAGTTATACAAAAACCTACAATGCCTATCCGATATGTTCTATCTTGTTCTGTAGTAATAGCACTAATATATGCGAAGGCTGACAAAAAACAAATACACCACCCGCCAGTTAATCCTTCAATAATTGCGTCAGAGAAGATTACTTTTTCTAAATTGATCTGATAGAAGAAGTGCACGCTAAATTTGTTGTTAATACCAACAAGTATTTGTCCAATAATCGGTACAATAATAAAAAGTTTCCTGTATCCTGTTATGTCAGAGAAAGAACCTACAAAAAGGGCTAGAAAGCAAGGCAAAGTTGCTGTTAAATAGGTTCTCCACGCAAGAGCACTCGCTACCAGTCTCTGTATTTCTCTTTCATAATCATTATGAGCGACACCATCTTGTAGTCTCAAAGAATCACAAATTTCCTTGGAGAAATTTAAATTCACCCTACATGCCTTTTCTAGTTGAAGATTTTGCGATGCCATATTAGTTATCATTGTTCCAGTTACCATCAAGAAGATACATGGTTCCACAGTTATATTTGAAAATACGTTAAAAACTTTATTACCAAATCTCAGTTCTTTTTTTTCACTATCATCTGGAACATCTTCTCTTAAGAGATCTACTTCTGTAGGTTCAACATGGTTGTGGTGATTAACTAAATTTTCCGTATAAGTGGTCATTTTAAATAGATTTCAGCAATTTAGTTTAGATTCAACCGTAATGGATTTTTATTTATTTTATAACTGCACTATTTATATAACAGACATTGTAAACGACTGTGAAAAGATTTTATTTGTCACTGATTGAAGATCTGTTTCAATAGATTACCATTGGTTTGCGATAAAATATACTCACGCTGACGCATGCTTACACACATTGATAAACCAGACTTATCAGAAGTCTACTGAGGTTACTAGAAATTAAAGAAATATGTTCAGAATGAGAGGGGTTCGGTGCGATCTAATTCCATCAATATTAGGTACCTATATGTGATTTTTTTTCTCGTTAAAAACGAGTCTTGTTTACAAAGTGCAAATTTAAGTTTTTGAAGTCATAGTGCTTAGTTGAAGTTTAAAGTCTTTCTACAGAAATTTGATTTCGCCTGCCTGGGTTGAGGAGGTCTGATGGTAGTCGCTCCGCATGAAAATCGTATTTTGACTGTATCGTAATAGACTTAAAGTCGACCCCAACCTAGCTTGTAAAAAAAGCTGGTAAAAGGTTTGGAGGAAGAAGTACTTAGTTGACTTATGTTATTAATGAAAACGTTTTATAAAACTGGAATATTTAAATCATCTATTTTACAGGGTGCTACATAAAAATTGTGGTCCTCTTTTAATGTCGGTTACTTTAAAAATAGAAAGCGCTATCAATTTTAAGAATATTTTGAATGTCAATGTGATTTTATGTACCAAATAAAATCATTAATTTAACAACAGCTTAAGCTATGCTTAGTTTGGGATCAGACAGCCATGTGTGAGATGTGTGAAGTTAATACTTTTACTAACTTGTAAGTTACCTGTTAAAACTAATTTTGTAGGCAAAATCACTGATATAAATTTAACTATAGGTATTTTATACAAAGAATTTTCATGGAATAACCAGACTTTTTTCTCAAAATACAAAAATAATATAAAATTCATCACCAGCAAAAGCAAGTTATACAAATAATCAGTTTTCATTCAATATTTTTTTTTCTTTCAAGCACTCCTAAAATTTTAGTGAGCCCTTCTGTAACACATTTCATCAACAGCCTTTAATAGTACACTGCTGGACATATGCCTCTCCTTAGAAAGAAGGTAGGTTTTGGCCTACTATCTGTAAGACATTTATACTCTTACTAATATTAATTCAATTCGTCTTCGTACAACTGTGTTGTCACCCTACAACTGTTATCTTAAAAAAAACCGACGAACTGAAAAGGTGAGGAAAGTAGAATTTATTAAAATAAAATGATTACAAATGACTTAAGCAGAGATTGTAAGTAAATTCTACGGTGGGTGACGCTATCGCTGATAAGAACTTTTCATCTGTGAGTAATTTTTTGACAAAAAAATGGTACAAATCCATTCCATTAATCATGTTTTATCTATGTAGATGTACTCGTGTAACGATAGAAAGTGTTTTTGTTTTTACAAAAACTATGAATATTTTGATGTCAAGAGATATTATGTAATTATGACTAACCGAGACGTACAAATTAAATGTATGATATCAGGTGGGACTAAAATTGTATTTTGAGTGACTAAGTCTTCTTTAATGTACACATTAAACATTTCACATTAAATTTCTAAACATATTTATAGTTGTACCTAACTATGCTTTGCTGTGACATTGAAATTACATGAATGAAATCTGAGGAACTAAGTTGATGCTAAAAAAAAGATAAAACAATCTTTGAAGCGGTTGTATATGATGTCAAAATTTGAACTCAATCGGTGCAAAACTTTTTGAGTTCTGAAGCGTACACAAACTTAACATTCACATATAGAAAGATTGCGAGAATCCCAGTTTAATAAAAACATACGCATATATAAACACAAACATACGTAATAATATTATTTATTTTATTTTTATATTTACACACAATTGAATATCTTGCGCTTGGTGTCGATTTGTTCAAGTTGCTCGTGGGGAGTTTTGTTTATGGCAGGAATTTTTTGTTTTTTTTTGCCTCAGCGTTGACGGTTGTGATTTTGCTTTCATTATGTACAGTACTTACTGTCTTCTGACTGAAAAGACTGTCTTCTTCAGACAGTCTTTTCAATACAAAAAACTCTCTTTAATATTTTATAACTTAAATAAGTGAACAATGCAGGATATTGTACACATGTTCAACTAAGGAAATATTATAAAATACTACTGTTGCAAATATTTTTTTTCCGTGGAAAGCTACACATGGACCGGCTCGATTGAAGTGACACCATATTTTTACAGAAAACGTTAAAAGCGTCACATAGTTAATGGCATCTTCGAAATAATTGCCATTTCGTCAAACAATAAGTTTATTTTTGGTGGTGTTATAAATTTTAGTGTTATTTTTTTTCACATTTTTTTAACTACATTTAATTTTGGTACCACTTACATAAAATGGGGCAAACCTATCGCTGTCAACGCATATCTTATTTATTACCTAAAAATTTGGAGTATACCTATAAAAAAGAAAAGTAGATAAGAAGAGAAGACAATGGTCGAATATCCTTTGATATTACCTACTTCTATGCATGGTTTGGAAATGTAAATAATAACTCGAGAAAGTCAGCTAATATCCTAAAAGTTGTTTCTAAATATACCAACCATTGTCAACATACAATTACTCTTGCTTCTTCGTGATTTTCTTTTTTTCACCCATTTCAAATCATCATATTTCCTAGAAGGATTGGCATCAGGCTGGCAGGATACAAAATAAATAGGATAAATTCCTTTGCAAAATTAAACATTGCATCTAATCTAAAACATAGAGATAATACAAATAGAGGGGAAAAGGTATTTGATTAGTAGTCCTGTAAGTGGAATAGCGACGTCGGTAGAAAGAGAAAGAAGACGGCGACCATTTCGGGCCAACAAATCAGCGAATCACCGTCTTTTTTCCCTTACTACCAACGTATATTATCTCTATGATCTAAACATAATCGATACAGGATCAGTTATCAAGTAGTTTGTATCGTGCTCAGTAGATGGCGCTAAATCGTGTTTTAGTGTTGTAGATTGTTATTGGCGCACTGTAACTATAAATATTAATAAAGTACAAAATAAATATTAGTAATTATCGCTTTATTTTGCACATTCATACCTTAAATTTATCACAGTCAGAGTTAATATGTTAAAACAATGAAATAACATTCGCATAAAGGCGATCGGACGAATTTAGAGACACCTTTCATAAAATACTAAATACATAGGTAAGTGTATCTGTTTATCGCTGTATCTGTTATCCTAAACGGAAGTACAAATTTTAATTTAGAAATTGGTAACTGGTTTCAGCAAAAATTGTTCAACCTTTCAAGCTTTCAAGATCATCAATTTTAAAATTTTGAATTAAGTTCCTTTAAATATTTAATTAATACTTGTTATAATTTTTTTATATACTTTTACTTTTAAGTTGACGAAAAAATGCACAATGAAGAAGACAGAAGGAAGATTTCGGTATCCTAAACACATTTGCAACACAAATTCGTTAAAATTATACTTCTGCAGGTAAAGAGTGTCGCCGGCTGTCCAATTAACAGAAATATGCTTAACCCTATATCCTCCACTTATTTATGCCCTCGGAAACGAAAATATTTTCAATTACAATGTGTATGATGTAAACACATTTTTATCCATCTGGGCACATTATTTTTAAATGGAAGAAAAAATGTTGTGAACTTTTCTTAATCATTATTATCATAATTTTACAGTAAATCCAATTGGTACAAATTTTGTCGTAAAATAAATCCATAAATAGCTCAATAAGGCTTGTCTGAACATGTGTTTTAAATATATGTTTAAGACGTTGACGTTACCGTTTTGTGTTTTCTATGGTTATGTTGTAGAATTTTAAAGATACTATGATTTATAAATTCGATAATAATTCGATTTCATTAGGTTTAAAGGATAGCTTACAGTATAAAAATTTACAATATATACATTCGAAATCATTACTATAATTTAGGTACAATATCGATAAATAATATTAATGGTATGCTGGATTCTTAACAAAAATGCTGGTAGCAATACACTTAGAGTTAATACATATATCTCAATCAGCTTATATTTTAAGATTAAAATTTAATAAGTGAAAATTAACGCCACTGAAGACGAATAGAAAGACAACAAATGTGACGAAAAAAGATTTTCTAATTTGTACTAACTACGGAAATGAAAATTTAATAATACTCAAGATACGACATCTTAAATTACTTAAATTTAAATAAACAATTGCAGTATTGCCGGGAAAATTAAACTGGGAAAAACGTTATAAGGAGATGGATAGTTCCATTTTACGGGCTATCAGAGCACCACCTATTAAATTAGCACACCTATTAAAATACTTTAAATACTTTTATTATACATTCTGCTAATCGTGTCGTAAAAAAATACGTGTTATATGCTATCCATAACATTTGTAGGCAACAACAACGCAACTCTTGCTGTCTTCATATTGCTGTTCTACTTAATTCCTTCATCTTCAACAACTTCATCGACCTCTGACCACAGTCAGTTCTACCTAGTCGAAACGTCAGACAATTCAAACGTATACATCTATATATAAATCTATAATTATTATTATTTCATTATCAACAACCTTTAATAGTCCCCTGCTGGATGCATAGGCTTTTCCTTAGGTTAAGGAGGTTTTGGCCTACTATGCCACGCTAGCCAGACGGGTTGGTAGCGAATTAGTGTCAAGTTTTTATATTGCTTGTACATTACTGATTCCGTGATCGCGAGAATTCTCTTAAAATTTCTATGTCTAATGTAAGATTTATTTTGTTTTGTGTTTTAAAAAACAACTACGGCATTAGAAATATATCATATATCGTGGGGGAGTTTACAAACATACATAAAACGGACACAAAGAACACCCAGACTCAGAACAACAATTTGTGGATCACACAAAGTGTCGTCCCATGTGGGGATCGTACCCACAACTCATCGTGGGTATAAGTATAACAACTTATCGTAGTAGTAAGTGGCGTGGCGACCGCTTAAACCACTACGCCATTCGTGCAGCCAAATTTGTAATACTTATACCCACCATACTTTGAAATTCACTTCACGTTCTTATAGACTGTAAAGTTTTCTCAGATTCAAATGTCATTTTAATTTAAATAGCTTCAATGGCGTTAATATCCTCGTTAATTAAGTAAAACTTATATCATCTACCCTTCAAACCTTTTAAATATATCTATCTGTGAGTATACAACTTGATTCTTATATTATATATTATTTTATAAGTTGCAAAGCTAATAAAAATACTTTTAGAAAAAAGTGCTAACTCTTTTCTTTGATTTCTTTGTGCTCGGGTTCCTTATCAGTGACAGAAACAAATTCTAATGGATCCGCTTTTTTAAATTCTGCTTCTTTGGCATCTATCTTTTCTTGGTCTTCCAATGCTTTCTTTCTCGTTATTCTTAATTCTTTTCTGTGTTGAGCGTAGAAGAATCTGAAGCAATAAAATCACAAATGAACGTAATGTTTCCTAAATGGAGATATTTATTAATTTCATTATTTGTAATTTGTTGTACCATAAAACTTTTTAATTTTATGATTAATAAATTCTCGAGTCTTATAGTATTGGTTAGTAAATCGCTTTATAATGAGGAAGATACTTTTCACAAAGTTTTTGTATGTTTATATTTCATAATTATATGAGTCAACGAGTGAGTAAAAAATGTGATCAAAGTCAGTCATTTATCTATCATGTTATATTTTGGAGGACTTACTGCAGATATTGAAAGATAAATTTAAGATCATTCAGGTATGACATAATTGTAGAAAAAATAATGCCAATTCTCAAGTGCTATCAGTAATAAAAAACTCGCCTTTAAACAGATAGTGATGTTTGTTATATTAAGGAGAAACTCAGTTCATTTTACTACTTTAAGAAAAAAGGGAAAGCTGAAATAAAATAATTTACTTACACAAGAATTATACCAGGTGGTATAGCAATAGCCGCGCTTATAAGAAATACAGCTCCTGGTAGCACAGACAGAGTTTGCAAGTACATCCAAGAGTAAAGCGGCTGGAACATTAGAGACGCCAGTGTCTCAGTCAAAGAGAAAATAGAGTTGACCTTCGCTGAAAGATACCAGTCATGTTAGTTTTGTAACCAATTCCTACCATAAAATAGGTTTTTTTTTTATAAAAGACAAGGCCCGCATTAGGAATACATCCTGTGTCGCGGGGGACTTTACAAACATATATGAAACGGACACAAAGAACAGCCAGACTCAGAACAACAATTTGTGGATCACACAATGTATAGTCCCATGTGGTTAAATTATGAACATAATAATTAATTAAACTAAAGTATCAGTAGTCATATCAATATCAGTATCGTATCATAACTAAAGTATTAGTAGTAGTAGAATATATAACACATATAAACACTATAGTTTATATGTGTTATATATTCTCTTAATTAGTCAGTATCTACAACATTGTCTCATAATAATCAAAGGAACGATGACACGTCGAATTATATATCAAATAGAACTTCCGTGCACCAACCTGTTTCTTGTTTTTCCACCAACTTTGATATTATAGACCGAAGAGAAGTGAAAGTGGATGCATTCAGTAATTCAGCAACCGGTACTGGAATTATTAATATCACAATAAATAGTGCTATAGATGAAAAAGAAAAAAATAAATTTATGAGTGCAAAGAAAATATATGAAGATAATTGCTCAATCCTTATAACATTTTTGGAATGTTTTATAATACCTTTTAATGGATGGTTGATTCCAGTATTAAAATGTATTCAAATATCTTGAAATTTAGCCATATTTGTTATAAAATTAATTAGCCTTGTGAGCAATATATAGTGAAAACCAATTTTGGATTGAGATAACAGTAATAATAGATTGTACCGCGTATACCTCCCTAATCCAGAAGTAGGGCAAACCCCTCTTCACCCAATATGTAGCTACCTATGTCGGGATCGAACCCTTAACATTCAGTGCAGTAAACCACGAAACCAAGGCTAGGTTCTTGGGGATTTCTTTCCTGGGGTATTCCCGATTCTCGAGAAATCGAGAATAGACTTGGAACCCCACTTTGTTTTTCACACGATGTAAAAAGGCTGGTGAAATTTGGGCACAATTATTTTTACCGTCCTGTTAAGGCTATATTTATAACCAAACTTTATTTTATTTAAGGTCAGCAACTGTATAGTTTTATTTCCCGACCACTTAGATCATCTCGTTATACTTAGCACAATGACTATTGTTCAGATAACAGAAAATCTACTCGTGATAAACAGATTTTCGATTATGAGTAACGAGTAGCACGAGAATTATTTCAGACGTCTGACACGAGCAGTCGGCTTAGTGGGAAAAGACAGGATAAGTATATAACTGATAGATTTATTTACCTAAATACATCTCAATATCCGTTGTGACGAATGCAGTCCATATGGAGCCGGCAAACTTGCTGATGACGGAGATAAGGCACAGCAATGAGTCATCGATCCGCATGCGCCTACTCAGGATTGTTATAGAAAACATGGCGCCTGCAATGAAATGTTATCTGTCTTTAGTTTTTGGCATACTGATTAAAAAATTGTTAAAGTTATCAAAATAAAATGTCAAAATTTTATTTTAGATGATTCTGCCATGTTGGTGAAAATAACGTTAAGAATTTAGTAAGATTCCATTAGGACCGCAGCCCGCCAGACATGATCACCTCGCCTGGTCGGAGAATCCTCTTTTTGTGTTGCAGGGACATGATACCCGTTTCTACACATCTACGGGTATGTTGGTGTAGTGTTAGTAGTCCAAACTACTAAGCCTGAGGTGGTGAGTTCGATTTCCACCCAGGACAAATAATCGTATGATGGGCACGATGATTTTATTCCGTGTCTGAATGTAATTTATCTATAACATGAAGTATGTTTATCAGCAGTCTGGTTACCATAGCACAGCTCTGCCTAGTTTGAGATCAGACGGCCGTGTTTGAGACGTGTGAGGTTATTATTATAAACCCGAAATTTTTCGAGAATAATGAATGGATGTTTGATATCCAATAACGCTGAACTCGCAGAACAACTAAACTTATTTGGATGAATTTTTGCGTAAAAGAAGATTATAGTGACAAGCATAAAGGCTACTTTGATTAAGTAAAAATTTATTGACAAAATCGTCATTGGCGCGAGCGAAGCCGTGGCCAAAGTATATAGATACATGCAAATACAATCTGTTATTGCCCCTCATCGCTGATTCATTTTTATATGGATATAATACAGACATGTCAAACTAATAAAAGCATGTCAAACGATTATCGAAATAAAGATAATGGATACTATAGATATGTATTTTTTAAGGTTTTACCTTATTTTTGTAACTACTATCTCAGAATATTCTGATATTTAATATCTTATTAATAACTGTTACAATATTTCACAAATTCACCTTTATTAAAGACTAAAACATATGGAAAAACATGCAATTGGTACTAACAAATGTTGTTTTTATAAGTCAGACAAAAAAGGAATTCAATAAGTTTTCTTTGATTAATTGCACGTCGGTAGTGTTATATTACTAATCTTGATGACGTCACTATGAACGTCGCACATGGCCGTAACGGTAGTTATACCTAAAGGCAGAAAGTATCAGCGTCATCCATTTTCAGGGCTGGTTGCTTCGTCTGGTGAATCGTTGCATACTGCTTAGCGGATTCCGATTCGATGGCTACCGTAAACGTTTAACGCAATTCATCGTGTCCTATGAGTATGAACGTTTTTGAGGGGCCTTACTACGTTTGGTTCATTCCACAGCGCCTTGGCACCGTCTGTCATAATACTAAACTGAAGTTACAAGCAATATTTTTATTGACTTCTTTATATTGTTAAAAAATATTTTTGTTTTTAAATTGGTCATAAAAACTACGGGCATTTCTAAATTACTAACGCGGTAATTCTAAGATATTTATTTTTACATTAATAAATCAAACAAAAGGAATATAAGGATTGTTTTGCTTTCAATAAACAGTTTAAAACGAAAGCAAAATTATACTAGAGTAAAGACGATAAACTACAGTCTTGAACATTCTATTGGACAATGACTTAACTTTGATGATAATAACAAAATAATTGAACTACATTAGCAAAAAAAAAATTTAAATATGGCGTTTAACATCCGACTGCGACAATGCTTTGTAAGAACACAAAGTTGAAACTTATTGAAATTTCCAAAATCAAATCTATATCAGTATTTCTAGCTACAATAAAAAATGAATGTCTTGTTATGATTAATTGTTGCCATTACCGTCATAAAAGTTTGTTTTACGCAGTAAGGGTGCCGTACAAACTTATATGTCATGTAAAGACTGTCTATTTTTATTAAAAAATAATATTTAATAAATAAAGTCTCCATGCATCGATGCACGAGTGAAGAATGCCGACACACTGAATTTTTAGAGTGCAAAAATAAAAGTTTGTTATCGCAAAGTCTTTCTTATGTCATATAACAAGAAAATAACGATTTTCTTTTACTTGCGCTGTGAGATCTTGCAATTCACTAAACTTCAGGGTTTCTACTGTTAAAAACCTCAAAACTTATAAGTTTTATGTTTTTGCTTGTTGTTGTTTGTTTAAAGCTTAGATGCCTTTACGAGTATCTTTTGATGGAGTTAACTTTGATTATTTATAATTCAAGAGACCTTTATGAGACAGTCAAACAGACATGTAAAGTCAGACAGACAATCAAGTAATCCTACAATGGTACTGTTTTTCCTTTGAAGAATGGTATCCTAAAAATGAGGGTTCTGTTCAAATTCAAAAGACGTTGCAAGAAGTTTATAAGATTAACGTTAAAGTCCTTTTGTAAAATCAAGGACGGTAGCTTCTGGTATTAAAATCAAGAGGTATATAATTAATTAATTCTGTTTTGTATCATGTATAGGTAGGTACTCATATTTCTTACGTGTGTTGTTAATTATGTAATTTGTATTAAGTTACCGTTTGAACCTAGCTGTAGCTTTACATACCTAATGCTTTGCTTTTGCACGTCCATGGTTCTCTACTGTCATTGCTGGAGTAATCGTTGCAAACCTTTACTCATTTACACACCAAGACTAACCCTCACCCTCACCTAGGAGGACTGGCTTCCCCATTTTACCCCGGACAGAGGCATAATAAGTATAAGGGGCTTCTTCACTCCCGGTCACACCTGATTTAAGTGTTCTTTATCCTGATCCTGATTAAAGCATCCAGGACTCCATCCTGAGTTAAATTCTATCTCCATAGTTATTGTAATATTTTTGCAAATCAATTACAAACTGTCAAAGTGACCTTTTTTTTTTTTCCTTGCGGAAATCCCCTCGGATACCACCTGTCGGTGGCATGTCGGACTCGAACCGACTAAAACCGCACGCCGTCTCGGGTACTAATAGCCGGGGAACCAGGTATACCCTAGAAAGGAAGTCCCTGGTGCCCCGACATACCTCGGGTCATCTACAGTCGAGTAGATGACCCCCCCCCCGGATTGTCAAAGTGACCTGACTTTATTTATAATTTCTCCGTCATTTAATTACCGAATCGACCACGTGTTAGCGCACGCGGCCGATCCGCCTTGACCACGTTACAACGTGTCTAGGTTATCTTCACAGATTAATTTTACTGTCTGGACTGTTTTATTACTTTAATAGAAAAAGTTAGAATTTAAAATCAAAGGCAATAGCAAGAAACCTGTTTCAAACGAGACGAATAAATGTTCGTGTCGTTTGAAATAGGTTTGCTAAATGCAAAAAAGAAAATGACAATAAAAATTACACTTGTGAAATAAAAGGAGAAATGTAAATTAAATTAACTCTTTATGCATCACAGTGTGAAAAGAATCTTATTATTTTCTGTATTTAGTTTGTAATTTAAAAACTTAAAAGATTTCATCACTCCTAAAATACAATAGTGGTTTAAAAATCTAAAAGTTTCAGTTGAAGCGCCTGTCTAAAACTGAATAATATTTGTATTTAAAATAATATTTTTTTTTCAGTTATAAAACCTTAGGTACAGATCTTTCTTATACTAAAAGCACTATTATTATCTTTAAGTGGGTGGTTCTTCTTTTGTTGTTCCCTTTAAAGTTATTGTCGATACAAAAGAAGAACTACTGTTATTACTCCTGTTGTTTGTCAATTATTTTTCACAAAAACTCTTGAAAAAAGACAATCGTTACAATAACCTTAAAATTAATAATAATAATTGGCAGTTTTTACAAAGTGGTTGTGGCATAGTATATAAAACGCGTGACGGAGATGTTTCACATATAGAAAAAGTGTATCCCTCTGTGATGTCTGAACAGTCTCACAAAAAAAAATCTGATAAAAAATTTTATTACTAAATTATTTTTGAACTATTTATAACTTATTTATTTATTTATAAGAAGAACATTTTCGTAAATTTCTATATTATCATTTATATGTTTTTCAGGAAAGGCTATATGCCACAACAAAGGTGTTAGTCAGTGAAATTTCTATTGAACTCAGTTCAGTTTTTAAGAAGAGAAGTTATCGTAATAGATAATTATTATTTTCCCCATTACTTCCCTAGGTTTACTAAATCATCATATATTTTATTCATTTAAGGTGAACTAAGAAAATGATATTATCTGCTACTGAAAGACAGCCACGTTATCGTTAAAAAAGAAAACTAAACCCTGATAAAGTTGCAGAAGTGAAAAGTAAAGATTTTGAGAAGATATAAGATATGACAACAAGAGAACACAGAAAAATGAAAAGACAATGGCAGATTAAAAATATACGAAAAGAGATCAACAGAACAATTTAATGAGCACTCTGGTTTCTACACCTCCTCCTTCAAATCCGAGATTACTTCTCTGAAGTCTTAGATTTAGTTACTGACTGCAGCCTCGTCCATTGCTACCGCAAGAGGAAAAAAACAAGTTAGATGAGACAGATAGAAACTTTACATATAAAATTCTGAACTTCAAGGCCAAGTACATGAGTTACAGAGAAAGGTGCAGAAATACAATACTTCATCGATTCGGTTTGAAGAGCTGTTATAAATTGTTCAACCTACTAAGGTAGTCAAAAGAGAAAGACTCATACGAGTTTGATCAACTAATAGAAGTATTCGAATTTCATATTTGATCTACCAAATAATGGTTCCATTAATAAATAAGACTTAATGTATCGTTTTAAGGGAAATATAATAACAATTATTATTGTCTTCTAAACTTTAAAATGCTTTATGTAAAACTGTGTTATGTATTGGTTAATTAGTAGTTACCACCCTGTCACTTTGTTCACCACTCTGTCACAAATGTGTCCCCCTTGCAACTAAACTAAACTCAAATTTACTTTAAAAAAATAATGAAAAAAATAATCAGCCTAATTGAATTGAAGTAAAAAAAGAAGAACCAACTACTTCCGTTAAATCTACAAGTTATTAATGATTTAATTTTTATATACGATTATCAACAGCATTTTAAGACTAGCATTTAAAATGATGAAAAATTTCGTTTCTTTCAATAAAAACTACATGCAATAACAAAATTACACTCTATGTTATTGTGCACCATCGTATTCAAAAATATGAACAGATTTGATGAATTCGTTTTTTTCTGGAAAATCATGAAAATTGGACATGGTTTTCTTACTGAAGTCAAAATCACTGTTTAATATGTCTACTATATTTTTATATCGTCACATGAGAAGACATATTTTGACAGTAAAATTATATTGTTGTTTCAGACAGGAAATATCAAATTTTATATAAAATAATAATCGTTTAGAAAACAAATGACTGTTGTTCTAGCATTTAAATTTCTGTTCACGTTTAAAGTTTTTTATTGAATAGTTTGGATATGCTTTAAAAATAAATAGATTTTCGTGAATGGATTTGAATCGTTTATAGTGTTTATTTTGACAGTAGCATTAACACATTTCGTGAATAATCAAACCGCAAGTGCAGATATAGACAATTATGGTGGTTTTATTTTGCGTGTGACTGAACACATGTCTTGAACTATATAAAACCTATCAGTGTTTTTAAAAAATATTTACGAATCCTGATATCTATTTTCTACTACTAACTACTTTTGCTAAATTACTTGAATATTTTTTTATTATTATTAATATAATTTTTTTTTTTTTATTATTACTATTATTTTAATGTTCGTTTACTTGGAAGAAAGGAACTTCAAGGATGTGGTTACAGGTTGCTCTTTCCGGTGTCATTGGGTCATCCTTGTAATCTATACAAATAAATAGAATTGAAGTATCTGATTGTAATGTCAAAATAATAGGTTTTTCATGCTCACACGTTTATTTGCACGATACCTATGCATTAAAAACTGTTTAAATAATTTCTGTCTGTCATTCTGATATTACATTTTAATGGACTATTTGGATTATTATGTGTGTATAAATACGATTTAACAAACATATTATTACTTTTGTTTACCGATATATATCTTCTTTTTCACTTAATACACATGTAGGTATCTAGAAGTTGCTATACGGCAATGGTGACAGATAGTTGGAGCCCCTAAAAAAGTCCGACAACAGACTTTAAACAGAATTTTGATATCGCCTATTACTTGTGCTGTGCAGGTCTGCTGGCAGTAGCTTCGCCATAACCTAGTTTGGGGAAAAAGGCTAACAATACAGGAAGTTATCGGTTTTGTCCTGTATCAAACCCAGTTTTTCTTATTACAAACAATTAAGCGTTTGTGACTCCTGAGTTGCAGACGTTCATGACGGTCACTTTTCATCAGGTGACCCGTATGCTCGTCTGTCCCCTCTATCATCTATACAAATAAATAAAATTGGAGTGTCTGTTTGTAATATTAAAATAACCGCTTTTTACTAAATGCATATGTATGTTTACACGGTACATATGCCAAAATAACATTTTTTTCCAATTTTTGTCTGTCTGTCTGTCTATCTGTCTGTCTGTTTGGTAATCTCTGGAACGGCTGGACCGATTTCGACGGGACTTTCACTGGCAGATAGCTGATGACATAAGGAGTAACTTAGGCTACTTTTTTTAGACTAGCTTCGCCCCGCGGCGTTGCCCGCGGTTATAACAACAAACGCGGGTAACACCGCGGGTCTCAGCTAGTAAAAAATATAGACTTTTACGAGCGTTATTTTATACTGACCGAATGAATGCAAAATGATGGAGTAGCTGATAAAGACACCATATTTCACCATGTCCCAGTTGAGCCGGTTCCTGACGAATAAGTAGAATATTGCATGTTCCGCTGAAAAACACATTATATACTTTAGTAACTAAGTAAATTGCTGTTTACGAGTATATCGTTAAGCTTTTTTTAGCAAGTAAAGCGAAATTATTACACAATTCTTTCTGTTAAAACTGATTGATTAATTAAGTATCCCTTTCTTGTAAATTCAGCTTTTTCTCCATTAAGGTTATTGATAAAGAGTAATCCTTGATCAACTTAATCAATTTATAATTTTTTATAAGTTAATTAATTTAAACAGACAGCTCTGACACAATTTCTTGGATGACATGGTAAAAATGGCAACTGTAGTGACATATCGATTTGTTTAAAGTTTTATGTGCATGACCTGGAGTCAGGCAGTTGAGATACTTACATATAGTGGGTCCATAAAGTATAAACACTATAAATAGCGTCAGTAGAACCTTGGCCCGGCGTCCGTCTGTCCTCTTCTGGAAAGCTACTGAAACCGTTTCTACGACGTGGGAGATATTGAAGAAGGACACATTTGATTGGTCTGGACGTTCTATCTGGAAATTGATTTAAGCAATAAAAATTTTAACGTTAACATATTAAGGCACATTGTCTTGGAGACAGACGCGGTGGCGCAGTAGCATATTCAACATTTAACATGAAGAACAAATATTTCTAAAAGACTATGGTCTTGGTGTTTCTGTGTCTTACTTTCCATGTATTCACAAAAAGGCATCTATTTAGGTTGATAATATCACTTTTTTTCCTAATTTTGACGTGACAACGTCTTATAATTCGATGGAGCCGGCTGCAAGCCCGAAAAAACATGACTCATGCGGCGTTACCTCGCTCTGAGGCGTTCCATTTAAGGCTTGAAGTACAAGCGAGAGCGCGCAACGAGCGACAAAGAGGCACAATCGGCCTCCGCCTTCGGCAGCGTTTGAAATCTCTCTCTCTCCTACTTGAGTGAGCGATGCGTCCGCGTGTAACATGTAAATGTATTATTGTATAGCAGTTGGCTATACAATAATACATTTACATGTTTTCGTAAAATGCAACCATTCCATCAGTATTTTCTTATGACGTTGTCACGTTCAACTATCGTCAGTAAACCGACTTTACAGACAACCGATTTTTTATTCAATTTGAGGGATTCAAGTGACTCAGTTTGTACATTACGTGACAGATAAATACATGTATATATGGTTTAGGATGATGTAAATCGCCTCCGTGACATATGGTAAAGTTGCCCTGGTGATTATGGACCAAATCTTTAAAACTATTTGCTTTTATGAAGTTGTATTAATGGATTAAAATCTATAATATCCTTTAAATCTATATTATATATTATTATAAAAGTTATTTATGAAGAATTTGTACTGGTTACCTACTAGGCGAGACGAAATTATTATTAATTAAATATTATAATTTTACGGCATATAACGGGGGTTGAAAGTGTCATATTCTAACGCATTCCTATCCTAGCATAACGATCTAGGAGTCATGTATTTTGTTATAGGTATTCGTTCACTTGGTAACGCGCTCTTTGGCGTCAACAACTACGACATTTTTACAAAAAGATTCGAGGAATACATAACTCTAAGATGACCCGACATTACCTGAACATGTATCATACTATAATAATATTATGCATAGTGATATAAACTGGTTTTATACGCCATATAAAAAAACTTAATTTTACTCACAGTAGGAGTACATGAAGAAATTAAGACGGAGAACTGTCGAGAATGTCTGGGATTTTCAGCTATCGTAGGCGTGAAACAACTTCACGAAAGTGCCATTTCAAAAGGAGTTCGTGGCTTGCTATTGTGAAAAGATCACACACAATTCCTGCTTCATTTTCTGCGACTTTAAGTACACACGTAAATGGCCATTCAGAAGGTCTGAGTACAGTTAGATGTTTTAAGTAAACGTTGGGGTTTTAATGTAGACTAAGGACTGGTGGAGAGCGGATCAGGTGGTTAAATTTCAGTATTAATTTATGAAGTTTCTAACGTGTTGTTTTACTGTGTTGTGTTGTTTTACTCCATACACTGGACTCCTACTATATAAGAGTATTAGATGACTTGATTAAGACTTGACTTGAGATTTCACCGACAGTTGATTAGATCCCAGTAATTTTAGACATTATTCTTGACTGGATACAATTGTAACTATATTTAAAATATAATAATCGCAAAGGTTTAGCCGATTTGTTTATTAAACATATTATTGGCATTATTAAAGCCTGGGAAGATTCACAAGAGGCCTTAGGTGTTCTGAATAATTTATCGAATGCCATTCGCATTGATCATATTGTAATTGTTTTCAAATTAATTAATTTAATCAGTAATTGATAATAATAGAGAACAAACAAAATAACTGTTATTAAAAATAATGAATAAGTGTATGTGAATGAAAAAGTGATGTGAATGGAAAATACCTGCGATGTCTTTAGTTATCGCGCGTCTTTAGTTGCGCAGTGTTTGTGTGCTTTTTGATTTTTTATTTTTAGAAACTTGTCGCTTTTACTTATTAATTTTATTTGTTGTCATACAAGCCTAAATGGCTAAAAAATACATTTTTAAAGGGAAGACTTTTGGTGGTATGTCGTGTACTTTTAAATAAAAGGTCAAAAAAAACAACATTAAATATACAAACAATATAAATCCAACATAACAATAAAGCGAACTAAGTAAGACTTTTTTGCCACAGCAACATTTTTGGGTATCGTGGTTCATTACATTTAAAGACTTTTTGCCTATCCGATAATATAGAGATACCTATATATCAGAGATAGAAAGACATAGATATTTTCTGAAAAAGATGCAACTAGACAATTTTTTTATTGGGTGCCGAAAAATTATAATATTAAATAATATTTTCGAAACAAAGGTAATTTGAGTTTGATTCTGATCTCCAACCCATCAGTAGCCACTTAATATTTAGTGTACGTTGTAATTTTCAAATGATAATGTACCTAACAGTAGACTAAGAAATAATAATCGTTTAAGTGACTACTAATAAAGCTTAAAACATCTATATATATTGTATACATAATACGTGTTAGAAATATCCTTCTAGCAAATTACTTCTAACATATACCTTGTCCTAAAGCATTCAGGTCATACAAGCATTATAATATTTTAAAGTACTTATTTAACGGATAATTTACGTTAGTGCTTAAAAAACGGTAATTGAAAATCTAAATTTCAATAACTTTCTTTTCCGCCATGTAAATTGAATAACTGTTTTCATAATCTCAGCATCTATATGAGTGTAATTAATCATTCATTTACTTAAAACACAAATGTTAATAAAGTTTAGTTATTTGTTTAGTATATACATACATACTATAAACTGTGTACGTCGGTGTGACATCGTAACGAATACTAAAATAGTGTATTCAGGCTATCATTCTAAGTCTAAAATCATTGGAATTTTCCATGTGTTTTTCGTCGTTTTTCGTCCACGCACACTAACACAAGTTGGCGGCCGGAGGGGAGACCCCGAGCGCTTCAGCTGTTTGATTAATTACATTGTAGTTTTTGACCATATGCGATATTTTTTAATTTGTTTTCAGTGAAATGTTCTGTTTACTCATTGTAATATCATTTTCAACAAAAAAAAAATCGAAAATTATGAAAAAAATTGATGAATTTTTCAAAAAATTGCAGTGATTTTCGCCTCAGAACCATGGTCTGAATACACTATTTCAGTATTCGTTACGATATCCCTTTATATTGCATTGAAATATTTATATAAAAGTTTAAACAATGCAAGATATTATTTAAGTCGAGCTGAGCTGCGTAACTATCTTATCTATGTTAACGCCTACATATTAAGCTTAACAACAATAAAATACTACGATATTATTAGTTGTAGATAATTCAAAACGGAACGAAGAAAAAGAACCATAAACATTTAATTCGGATTCAAATAAAAAAAAAACGATAACATTGTAAACTTGTATAAAACAATTACTCATTCAAATTAAAAACACGTTTTTATGGCATTAAATTGATAGATAAAAATGAATAAATAACTTTCAATAAACCTGGTCAATTTTTCTATTATGGTGAAGGGGGAAACGGGCAGACACGAGGCACGTGACCATCTGATAGTGACTGAATACCACCGCCATTGGACACCTGTAATAAAGGGACACAATAGCCACCCTTTAAGTGCCCTCCATCCAGAATTAGAAAAGCGTGTTCTGAGCCTCTCGTTACCTCACTTACACGACGACAAACACTAAAACTACGGTTAAGACGGCCTATGTAAACCGTAGCATGGTAATTATAATCATACTATATTTCCATCGATTATTATTGTATATATATATATATATCACAGGTTCCCAGAATACAAGAATGACTCAGTCTGGGAACCTGTGCGCAATCACCTTAACTTGCCATTATACAGCAAATTATTTAAATTACTAGATTTTATTGTTATTGCAACGTATATTCTATGTTTAAAGTATATTTATCAGTTCTATATTAAGCATGTATATATTGTTGTACGTTCTATGGAAATAAATATATTATAATTATATTATCGCGGTAAAAAGTAGTACTCGCTGATAATGTATTTTTTTAATAAAAAAAATTGGTTTAATGCCTTAGGTGTGAATGCGTTCGAAGCGTAAATGGAAGGTTTAATACATAAATGGCTTACCCGACTGTCATTATATTTCTATCAAATGATTAGTAGGGCTATCAAAACACTGAAGTAACAAAAAATATTTAATTATGGTGTAGATTACTAATTATACCTGGTGATATATAAATGAACTTCTTAAAAAATTCCAAGTGTAATCGCTACTTTAGATGGCTAAACTTTCTTTAATGTAGTTAATAACAATTTGTACATTTAAAAAAGAAAAAGGTTTACTACCTCTTCGATAACGGTGAAATATTTTACAGTGGCAGAATCATACTTCAGTACAAATGAGCTGGCTCGACCGGAGTGATTCCACAGCCTCACAGAAAACTGCTATTAAATAATTCTTTCGTTGTTTTTCACTGAGTAAATGAGGTACGGAACCCAAAGCTACCCTTCTTCTGATTCTAGGGGAGGTGGACTCAAAGGGACTCAAAGAGACTCAAAGTAACTCAAAGGGCCTCAAGGGACTCAAAGAGACGCAAAGAGACTCAAAGAGACTCAAAAAGATTTAAAGGGACTCAAAGGGACTCAAAGAGACAAAAAAGGTGGCAACGCACTTATGACTCCTGAGTTGCATGTGCAATGTACAAATAAAAAAAGAACAAAACACCTCAAAGAGCGTAAGCTTGAGTCAAATCAACATCCTGCATTACAGAAGGACCATTAACTTTCCATTTCTATGACACTGATGATATTAATTACTGTTCTAGATTCGGTATTGTGGAGCACAATAGCAATTGAATGAGTGCTCCACAATAAACTGATAGGGCAACAAATAGAAGATAAAATTATTTGACTTAATACTATAGATATTGTTAATCAAATAACATTTCAGACACGTGTCTTTCATTATACCTATAACATACTGTGCTACAATAAAATTATTACT